TGCATTATGAGAGTAGGGTTGAACTATTTTTTTTAGGCTTTTACAGTGAATTGTTTGACTTCCTTGTCAAATGCATTTCAGACATCTCATTTGAATACCTTGAATGGTATCTTAGTGCAAATGCAAATAACTTCTTCAAAATTATTCCTGTCTGTTACTCATTAAGTTCTGAATCCTACAGAAAAAAAAGCAACTTAGTGGCTGGAATTAAGGTTGCTTGGGCGACTTCTTTCCCTTGCAATGTCTTGATTTCAGGAACTTGATAGCAAATACAGATATTTCATATATATATATAATTTTTTTTCTTGTTCAATGGTGGATAGATGCTTATAGCACAATTTCAGTTTTTGTCTATTGCAGGTTTATGTGCTAGAAACATAAACTTAGAGTCAATGTGTCTAACATCTGAAATGTGTAAATCACTTCCTTTTAAGAAACTGCTTTCTTTAAAGTTCTTTGTCAATATTTATGATGTAGTAGTGCATGTGTGTATTTGTTTAAGGAATTACTTTTACAATTTAAGGTTTTAAGTTGTTTAGCTCTCTCATTAATCGTGTGTGTTTAATTTAATAATATACTAATAACTGATATTTAATAATATATTAATCACTGGAAAGTAGTAAAATTGGAGCTCTTGAGTAGCTTTAGTGAAAGAAATGTAACTATCTGACTTCTAATACTATTTTGGTTTTTTTGACAAAACCATTTTGATTTCTGCAGTGCAGGTTTTTATACCATGCATATATAGCATATACACACATATAGTGGCACTTGTTTGTCTGGCTGTAAATTGTGAAGTCAGGAGGGTCCTACTCAGTGGCAGCACTTCATTGTGGTGGGGGTTTTCAGAGCTGTAGGAATGAAAAGGTTTTGCCGCAGGGATGGGGGCCAGTAATTGCTGCTGTAATGGCAGCGTGGTTCCTGGCCATGCAGTGTGCCAGTTACCAAACAAGGCTTGGAGTCTCTTGTTAAATGCTTTTTTACCACTGTGAACTTTTTTGCTTTTTATTGTTCACTCCCAGCTAAGGAAGTTCTTATTTTGTGTAGTTCCTGTCTGGCTTCCAGCATAGTAACACTTCTCATACAAAAGCCGTGTCATTGCGCCAGAGTTCTGCTGACTCTTTTAAAGATCAAGAGTCCATCTAATATTTTTCTAAACTGGCTTGCTTATTTTTTTGTGTTCTGTTACTTTATTTTGGAGTTTTAACAAACTTCTTCTTGGCAGGGAAAGATGAAGTGAAGCCAGATGTAGTTTGAGAATGTCTTGGTGTCACAAATCATGAACGAATGGTATATTTCATTTAAAACAGGAAGCTCACTCCATTGCGTGGACTCCCTTGCCCCATTGTGTGGTATTTGTGTCACCTATTTCATAATGGAAGTTACAGGAAGTAGTGACCTCAGGTGAAACCTACCTGTACTGTCTTGGCAACCATGAAATGTTCTTCTGCTATTATAGATTCAGGAATTAGATCTCCCTTGTGTTGCATAGTCTAAGCAAATTGTTTAAAATTCTTTTAAACACCAGCAAATTCCACCCCTCTGTTAATTTCCATTTCTGTAGCAAAAGCCAGTCTGTACAGTAACTTCATTATTAGTTATTACCGTGAAATGTTATTTTTCAAATTAGTGATATAAGGGGGTGTGCAGCTTAGCAATTTGGGAAGTGTAAAGACTTGCAGGAAGAAACTAAAGGTTTGCCAACTAGTTGTTTCTGTACTTCAAAAATATTGTCACAAGTGGTTTAAAATGTAGTTTCTGCATTCTTCCTTTTCCCTAAATAACCTAAGAGTGCCTTAGCAAAAAAATTTCAGAAAGTTTATGAATGGTGACCAAGGTACAAAACCAAGGTACAGGTATGCTGTTTTTCTCGATATGCTCAAATGATTCTGCAGTTTCCTGAAGTCTTATCCTTTGTATTTTATGCTAGAACTTGTATTTCAGGTTAACTCTGAGTTTTATACAGACTTACTTTTTCCTCAAATTTCTGCATCTTATCTTCATATAAAGTAGTATCAATAATTGTGTGAACTTCAGAGGTTTCTCTACATGTTTTATGGGCTTATTAGGTACAGTATAAAACTGTTATGCAGGCTGTTTTCCCTTTAGTTTCTTTCAACATATGCTTTCCTCTGTGGAATTTTCAGAAAGCTGCTAAGCTTTCTTCACAGCTGCATCATGTTCAGAGGCTTGCATTCATTCTAGGATTGTACAAAAGCAATCTGTTTTCTTCTTTAACTTCCATATGATCAGGGAAGTCTATTTTTTGGCAAAGTTATATCACAAGTTAAAAATGCAATGGACATTCTGTATGTCAGATTCCATTCCAGTACTATGTGGAATGGAAGACATTCAGCTTTCCTGTTAATGATACCTTCCATCGATAAATTATAGTGACAAACTTCTGCTTTTTCTATTAAGTTATGTTACAACAATGTAAATATAATGTGCAGCTTTTATTACCCTGCCCTATAATGTGAATAGGTTAGATTTTTAAAGATCATTTTTATTATCATCATTATCATTATTTAGGAAGCAACAGTAGATATAAGTGTTGAAATTATTTTACTGTGATGACTACACAGCAACAAATAATTGACTTCCTTTGTTGTGCATGTAGTGTGACCTATAACCCATGGTGCTGTGGATGACAGGAAGGGATTTGTCTGTGATGATCTGTGTGGCTTTTGTTTTTCTTTCATCACTTTGACAGAGTTAAAACCTTGAGAACAAAAAATAGCAATAAATAATAGGGAAAAAAGGCATTTAACTGTTTTAGTAATGCCTGTTTTAGGAGTGGTGTCAATCTAGTTGCTATTTTGCTTTTTTGAGATACTAGAATTTTTTAAGAGTGAGTCATATATTGCGGCAAGAGTATTTTATTTGATGTGAAGATAAATGAGAGCAGGCATGAAGAGAGAGCTTAGGTGGCAGGCTGCAGTTTTAGGAGCTTGAGAAGAAGCAACATTTTAGTTTTCCCAGGTTTTGATCTGTGTATCACTGGAGCAGGATCAGGTGAAGGATGAGTTGTTCCTCTCCATCTAGTGCCATACAGGTTGTTTTCAACCCAGACAGGAGAGTTCACTCGTCTGGATTTTGCTGCTCCTTCCACTTTAAAGGAGAAAGTGAGCAGGATATTCCTGGCAATGTCACCCCAGAAAAGCATGATTTTAAAAAAGTGAGGTTTTCTTTGCACTTGAATTGTAAAATATGAATAGCCCCTGCATGATGCAAAAAGTTACAGCATGGCAGTCTTCTGTTAATATCTGATAATAAACATAGCTAGAAAGGCAGCAGAATTCTTTTGGAATGCCATGCTGATAAACAAGTGCTCTCAGGATAAATAGAAAACAGTAGAGAATTAAAGCACTAAACTAGAGGAATAATGAAGAGCTTTCTCCTGCTTTGAAACAGTAGTAAGGGTCACTCAACAGGAAATGCTTTAGTTTGATGTCAGAAATGAAGGGAAGCAGAAGGTGAGGTAATGCTGTGTCTAACCACCATCAGATTCTGGTAAGAGAAAGCAGAGCAATTAGAGTTGCTGTTGTATAGTAACTTAGAAGTGAATAATTTTGGTTGAGGTGCTCAATTTGATCATGCTGCTGTTAGGGTCAGCAGAGCTGCTCTCAGTTACTGTGCCTGCAGAACATCACAATTGCCTTGGTAGGGGATGGACTAATGAAACCAACTTCTTGTTGGAAGCAACGAAGTGAAACCAAGTGGAGGCTGACGAGACTAGAGTGTGCTGAATTTCAGCTCACGTTGCAGGAGACAAGAACAAAACTTATAAGTCCTGGCTGGTGATAGGTTTGAATTCAAGCTGTGCTTCAGCACAGCCAGCTTCAAAGGAAGTTAAAAAATTCTTCAGACTTCTACCTGTTTGTTCACAAAAAGCAAAAATATGATTTACGGTCCTGAGGACCGGGCCATGGAAATAATCCATATTTTGGCTGCTTTTTTTAAAATTTATTTTAAGTAAGCTTTGGAATAAGCTTTGAAGGATCAGGCACTAGGCTTAAAATAGCAGCAGTGAAGTGAGGAGATAATGAAGTTCTATTTTTTTCCTTACCATCAGACATTTCACTTTTTGCATAGGTGCATTCCTCTTCCTTCCACTTCACAGGTGACTGTTCTTCAGGTCAAGTTATCAGGCTAGCGACATGGGTAGGTAGCATTTGTCTACTTTCTGAGGATAAGATTTCTTCTGCAACACTACTTAAGCAATGATTTGAACCCAGTTGATTCAGTTGAATGCTGCCATGAATTATTATTTTATGACTTGAGCTCACATCAGTATTGTGATACCCATTCTTCATACAGTGGTAGTTAAGTAACAAAGCTCAGTAACATTTTTTCCTCCTTATTTTTCCTTGTGTCTGTGTGCTTAGAATGGCAAATGAAGAATGAATAATTGATAAAAAGTCAAAAGCTTTTGTTCTGTGGGTACAAGCAGTGTCTTGGGGGATTGGAATCCATCACTGTTGTCTTGTATGTACTTATATAAAATCCATTCTTGAAGACCACCACTATTTCTTTGGGTAGCATTCATTTATAAATGGTTTACACTCAGGAAATACAGGCCAGTTTGAAGAATTACCTGATTTATTTTTCTGTTTAAATGGATTAAAGATATAATCCTGCTTGTTTTCTCTTAATGTTGTCGTTATTTGCAGATGTCTAACTGTGTATTGGCTAGGTCTTTGGGTATATTATATGAGCTTTAGAATCTCTTTGCAACTATTTCCTCAGTATATTGAGTCCTGCAAATAATTACTTTTTATTAGACCAAATAAATCCTAATTGAATGTTTGCTCTTTTATATGCAGCCTGTTCCATTTCAAAATTGTAAAAGTTTGCTCTAGTTTTACTTTGCATAATAAAGACCTAGTTTGCTGCTTCCCTGTAAATTATATTTATTCACTTTAATATAGTGCAGCTTTTCAAAGTACATCTTTCTAATGATTAAAAAAATGTACCTTTTCTCTTTTTCTTGTTTTCAGATTTATCCAAGAATAGGTTGACTGAAGTTCCTACGGAATTGTGCCATTTTGTGTCACTGGAAACACTAAATCTATACCACAATTGTATCAAAGTTATACCAGATGCTATAGTAAACTTACAAATGCTAACTTACTTAAATTTGAGGTAAGTTTATCTTTGCCACGTTTTTTTGTTTATTTGCAAATATGTAAAACTTTTTTGTCTGTGCTTTGTAAAGTTCTGGAACAACTGACTGCATTTTTTCATGTTACTGAAAAGGGTAACACAAAAGCTCACTGGCTGCAGAGACAGCTCTGTATGAAGGCATCATAAATGCCAAAATGTAAAAATAATTATTAAAAGAAAACCAAGAAAGTTAATCCAGTTCTGTCCCGTAATCTTCTAACAAATCCAGAATGCTAATCACATCCGTACAGTTGTATTCTTTTAATTCACTTCTGATGACTAATTTTGTAAAGCTTGAAGAACATTTTGCAGTTCAAAAGATGGAGGGACAGAGGACTTATATTTTTCACCATGGGGAATAGAATGGAAGACTGAGATACTATATCTATCACTAGCATAGTCATATTATGAAAGAAATATAGCTGCTGCCTTTTTGAGGAGAAAATGGCAAAGCATTAGACATCTTTGCCTCCTTTCCAGGAAAAATCTGTGTGAATAATAATCAGTACAGAGAATTGCTGCTAGTTAAAGTGCATGTGAATGCACATGTGCTCTTGATGGAGGGCAAGTGAGCCCTTTTTCAGCTGGGTCAAGGTGTGGAGTTTTCTTTGTAGTTTAATGTGTAAAAACTGTAATAGTGAAGATATATCAGTCTGATCTTTGTGAGAATGAGGTCTGAGTAGAAGGTGAAGTGTCTCTCAGCCTGTGAAATTCAGGGAATGAAGTCCTGATCATCAGTTTTATCAACACTAAAGATCTTTCTCATGTCTTATTTTCTCAAGTCTACATTATTACTATGCTGCAGTTTTGGCCACTGTGGAACACTATTTTGTCTTAAAAATTTAAGTGTAGTAGTGTGTCCTGAGAATTTTGCACACATACAAGAAACAGGAATTGAGATTTTGAATTAGTGTTTGTTAGATATACATGAAGAATTTAAAACTGGATTAAGTTATTAAATATGCATAAAACATCTTGGTAGATTTAGGAATTAGAATTAACTTGGTAAGAATTCAATGTCATGAAACAGTGAATTAGAACTCTGTGTAGTGATATAATTTGTCTGAATCATCACAAAACTAGAGTAGATTTTATATCACTATGAAACTAAATTGAGCAAAATAAAAGTGATTTTTTATTTGACTAAATAAAGACATTTCTCTCAGTTTAAAATACCCTGTTTACCTGGATGTGCCCTTCCCCATATTAGTTGAACATGTTGAAGGGTCTGAAGAAAGAAATACATCCTTGACTTTCTAACCACGTTGCTTCTTGGCAAGAAATACATAATAGATTTAAAATGCATATTTTTCTGCCTGTTGCCAGCAGAGCCCATATGCTGAATAGCATTAGAAAGTGATGCCAAGAGATCTATATATAGTTTTTGGGCCTTGGTGGATACTGTTCATGTTTTATTTAAAGAAATTCCTTTGAAACTAATGATGATTTATTACTCACTTGCCCTGGCTATGTTCTGTTCCTTATCTCTTACTGGATTGCATCTGAGTTCTGTGGAGCTTAAAAATTGGTTTTACTTATTTTTTATCTGTGTCTGATCTGCGGTACAGGAGTTACTGTTTTAGACTCTAAGCTTCCTCTATTTGAGTTCTTTAGAACTTGAAACAATACTTCCAGGTAATTTTTCATAAAAGTTATGTCTTGGCCTTCTGTAAGGACATTAGAATTAAGAAACCTGGCTCTACAATAAGCATTCATACTTTTTTTCAGCTTCTGCTGGTTAGCAGTTGGAGTTCTCATTTTTATTTACTTTGGGTTTGTTACTTGAGATCTGTCTGTATCCTGGCATGCACAACAGAGATAAGATGGCAGTTTGCTTTGTACAACGTTTTGAGACTGTTTTGTAGAGCATGAATATGCATCTCGATATGCAGCTTTGTAGCACGCTGCTGGTCTGGCTCTTGAAGAAATGCTTTGTGGACTTGCAACTTGTGGAATGCAACTTGTGGAATTTTGATTTTTGCCTGTCTTTGTTTCTTGTCAATATTGCAACTCCTACTGAAATTACACAGGACAGTTTTTGCCATGTGTTCCAGAGTGTGGTCATAGATTTTTACTTTCTGAAGCCTTAACGTGTAGGCAGGAACTAATAAAAAGGGTTTATACTGGGGTAGCACTTCAAGTTACTGTTCATTGTTTTATTACATGTTAATAATCACAAGAAAGAAAATGTTATATTTTAAGGAAGTTTTTAAATAGTCCAGAAGAAACTTAACTATGTTATTCTGATAAGCATAAAGTTTCTTCTGAGAATTGAGCCACGAATTACTATTTTTAATCTTGTGGACATCACAAAGGGTCATGATATTTGTCATCTTTAAGCTCTACCTTATGAATCTTGGGAAGAAATGAACCACTGATAGTCCCAGAAATATTTGCTGTGTTTACCTGGGTTAATAGGACAGAGCCATAGACCGAGACTTACCAAGTAATCTTCAACTATAAATGTGCTTTAAATTAATTGAGAAAATAACCATTTGTCTGTGATTTATGTATTTGTCTTTCAGCTGGAACAAAAGACATCCATTTTAATGGCACATAAAACCACGGGAATGTTTAAATATTTGCAAAATACTGTCTCAGTTGACTTTCCTGTATTCATTAAGAAGGGAAACAGCTGTTCTTTGTGACAAACAGACTTTTTACCATGTTGTTAAACTGATACAATGCATTTTTTCCACAGTGGTAAATTCTGCAATATTGTTAGTCAATAATCAGGTGTTTCTAATGTGCAACTGTCTTCTTATTTATTGCCTTGCCTTTTGAAAATTCCAATTTTATCTGCATAAAATATGACCCACGAAAATGAAGGTATTTTGCAGCTCTCAGAGTTTGTGAGTATACAGTAGAACATCACCAACAGTTTTAATATTTTTTGTTTTGTTTTGTTGCAGTCGAAATCAGCTTTCTTCTTTGCCAGCTTGCCTGTGTGGTCTTCCTCTAAAAGTCTTAATTGCAAGTAACAATAAGCTAGGTTCCCTTCCAGAAGAGATAGGTCAGCTAAAACAGTTAATGGAATTGGTATGTTACTGATCTTTTTTTCACTTTTTATTTTGACTTCTTTTGAATTTAAATAGAAACAGTAAAATTCACTTTTCACATATATTTGAACAAGTGCTTAATACTATAATGTAGTTTGCACAACTTAAGTTTTTAACTTCTCAAGTGTGTTGGGTAGTAACACAATAGGAGTTTGCTTTATGTTCTTCAGGACTCTTTTAAACAGTATCACTGCCCTTGGTTCATTCAAAACTCAGTTTCAAAGTTCCTCATCTTTACCAGTGTTGCTCCCTGCTTGCCCCGGCTCCCTGTTTCACTGTATCAGGTCCTTAAGTTCTGGCATCAGGCTCTACAAGGTTGCACCCCCTGTAGAACCCTTCCCTCCTGCTTCCTTTCTGTGTTTTTACTATCTGCTTACCACACTGCATTCCACTCGAGCTACTGGTCTTATCAGTCTATTTTCATTTTATTTCACTGCATTTGTCATGCAACCTTCCTTTCCTGGAACACCCATCTAAACAGATCTACAAAATGATTATACTCCTTGTTTTCAAAGCTGTCTACACAAGTACTGTTTCTACAAGCAGTAGATCATTTAGAATATATTGTCCAGTCAATGACAGTCTGAAAAAGCAAAACTTATTGGGTATTAATTTAATTGCTCTTGTTTGTGGAAAGTATATATGAGAATGCCTCCCTTTCTCTCCCTTTCTCTTCCTCTGCTATATATTGTAGGCTGAGACTGAATTCTTTATGGCATAAGTCTTCTATTTATTTCTATTCATTTTGACCTTTTGAGGTAGAAATTGACAAAATGTATTTTGACACTGCTAATTTATGCTTAGTAAAACAATCAGATTTGAACTTCCTTCTAGCTGCTGGTATCTCCATTGACAGCATTTACCCTGCATTGCTTTTCTGTGCCTGAAAGTGCCTTCTTATAATATTCTTGTTTTTATGATAGTATTTTCTCCAATAAATTATGTTACAGAAATTAGTAACATTGCTTAAGGCCCCAATGCTGCTATTGATTCTTCATATGTAGTATGAAGTGGCAGCTGTGGGGCTTTTTCCTTCTGGTGTTCTTGAGCAGCATCCTGTGGTATCAGGCTGGTGTTATATATTACAATTGATGTGGCTGTTGATGAGAATGGTGAGGGGTAGTTACCTTTTCTTTCGTTTCTGAGTTATGACTGAGTTCAAGACTATCAAGTTTATTTTCTTTGGTGAGCATTATTAATTTATTTTATCAAATGTTTTAAATTTTTATGTGTGTGTGGTGGGTTTAGTGAGATTTACACAGATGGTTCTGATTTAATTATTCTTAAAAATATGTTAGGTAATAGCACTGTTTTTGTTGTGCTTAAATAGACACAATAGAAGGTGATGGTTCCAGTTTTATAAATAATTTAAGTTAAATTTAGTAAAAAGTTTAGTAAAAAGGAAAAGCTTGAAATCAATGTTGATTATACCCAAAGCAGATTGGGTTTGTTTTGTTCAAGCATATAATTTGTTTAAATTCTGGAATTCTGGATTTTCATATTGCTTTCCAGTTATGGTATAGTTTGTGTTACTGTTTGTCATGAAGAGCAAAACAATTTTTGCTCTAAAAGTATGTCATATGAAAGCTCTGGCTACATGTCACTTTGGTAGCCTAGAAGATGCATGAAAACTGAAAAAGGTCTGATGCTTGTTCTTTTTGACTCAGAAGGCATTGGTGGTGGGGGGAGGGGGGGGCTGAATGAAAAACAAGTTTTTGTTAAATTGAGCATGAGTCTGTTCAGATGACCTGATTACACAGTTTGATGCCACCGTGTTTGTTTGGTGCATTTCTAGTGAAATGAGTTGCACTATTTAACTGGAAATGAAATAACTGTGATGTATTGGGAGAAGCAAATAGTGGTAGGATTGAGAGTGGGGAATCTGTGTTGGCATGTAAACTGTAAAGCAGTTTAGATAATAAAGGTGATCATTGTTCTAAAACACATAAAAGAAACAAACAAAACACATGAAGTCATGTTGCAGTTGTTGCACAAAAAGTTCAGCTGTGAAGAGCAATGCCAGAGTCTGAATGGTGTTGTTTTGGTGTGTACACAGTGCTGGTGCTGTCTGGGCCAGGGGATAAACCCTGAGATGCCACCTGGCTCTGTGCAGTTCCCATATCCATAAGACATTTCTGAGAAATCTCAGGTTCCCCAGGTGTTTCACAAGCTGCATGCAGTGAGATCTGTATGTACATAGCAAAGGATTCTTTTTATCTACTTTTTTAATACAAAATTTATATAGTCATTGTAGAATGATGCAAACATAGTTTGCTGCAAATTAGATCTTTCCAATAAACTCTGCATTTTCCTTTCTATCCTCCAAAATGGGCTAGGTAATGTTTTTCTATTACAGGTACATATTTTTATGAATTTCATACCTGTAGCGTAGAATAACTTTGATATTACATGCAGAAACCTTTCAGGTATTCTTTTAAATTTAGGGTTTTGACAGCTAACTTATTTTGGTGCTTGTAGCATAAGTTTTTATCCCTGCAGAATGCATTGTAATTATTTGGCAAAAAATTTGGTTGGGAAGTTTACTTTTATTTGCTGCAAAAAATCCTTTGACTCAATCATGCCTCTACTGTCAGCCAGGAGAGTGCAAAATTAGTGTGAAGATAATCTGAAACTTACTTTCTGCCAAGGAAAAGTAATTGGGCAGAGATGGCTCAGTAATTGTACCCAAAACTATCATATGTACAATAAAATTCCATTCTCCATTCTATCAGGCAGTGTTGCACTTCTGCCTTCTTCAGATAACAGCTCTCTCTATCTCTGGGATGCTCCTATCTCATGTTGGAAGCCTTCAAATTTCTCACCTGGGATTTATGTCCTTTTCCTCATTCATCTAATCAGAGACAGCAGCCTGACCATGTGGGACTTGCTGCCTGCTGTTTGCTACAAGGGTCCGTGTGTTCACAAACTGTGTAACTTCTTTTTACTCTTCAGTACAGCTTCTGTGTCACAAGCTCTGACTGAATGCAGGTGCTTTTTAGAAACAATGGCTCAGTCAGGAGTGCTGAGTTTAAAGTTATGAAAGGAGGAAGTTCACCTCAATTTGAATGGTTTGGATAAACTTCTGTGTGTGTATGAATAAATATGTTAATGTGGAGTCAGAGTACCTTATTGTTTTTTCTGTTTATCTTGCTGAACATACATGCTGAACTGGATTGGTTTAAGGCCATTTAAACATTACCATAAACAAAGGGAAACAGTTGATGATTTTGCTTTCATGCCACTGAGCTTCATGACACAGAAATTAATATTAAATTTCCTTAATTTATTAAATGTTAAACAAAACCCTTACATTTCTCTGATTTTGACAAATTGCCTTGTCATGGCAGGACATGGTCTATCTGGTGAGAACAAAATAGAATTAATACCAGAAGTATGACCTCAGCAAATACTAGTTCCCCATGGAACTTGAGTGTTTGCACTTCAGTTACCTGCAAATGTCCCTGAAGCCGAGTTCCAAACTGCTGGTTTCCTAATTCCTTAAAAAATTACTGGCTTGGAAACCATAGGTGTTTGATAGTATTGCTTCCATTGTTGGCAAAGTAATGAGAAAGTTTAACACTGTCTCTGTCACAAACACACTCATCAAGTCTAATAATAGTCAAGAGCATAATTATAAGCATTGCAGGCCTTTGTTTTCCATGGCTATTCAAACAAAGTAATAAAAAAATGCAAGTTGAACGACAGTGTTTAGTAGGCTAAAGGATACTGCTGTCTCTAGAGATCTTGTGAATGCTGACATGCTGTCACAACAGATCAGTCTTATTGAGGATGTTTTGAAAGGCTGTAAGTGGAAGTGGACTTTGTTTGTGAGGTTACACACTGCCAGCTTTCTTTTTCTTTTTTTGATGCTTCCACTACTATTCTCTGTCTCTTACCCTGACTTGTTCGGGTATGTGTGCCTAAGTGCACTTGGTCTAGAGTTTCTTTGGCACAAGGTGACTTGAGATTCTGTGCCCTAAAAATCAAGTATCTAATTATGAAGTAATTTAGAGACTGTAAATTAAAAATAGGACAGCAAAGCTTTAAAAATAAATGATCAGGGAACAGTGCAATTAACCAAACGTTGTGACAACTTGGGCAAAAATGCACTCATTAGCTGGGATTTTTAATTTCCTTGTCTAAAAGCTACAGTAATTTCCTGACTGTGTTTTGAGAAGGGAAGGAAGTCTTGGCAGCAACAAGATTCTATTACAAGAAGAAACTTGTTGGCTACAGGGTATAGCATTGCTAGATCACAATTTGGTTTTAGTATCATTTTTTTGTTAAATAGATTTTAGGCTCAAAGATAGGGAGTTAATATAATGCTTTTGACTGGCGTTAAAGCAGGCATCTTCAAAGACATGACTTGGAAATCTGGCTTCTCCAACTTTTGTCTAGGAGTTCTAGATACTTTATAAATACATTTGAAACAGTTGAGAGAGTGGGAGTATTCAGTTGGCTTTTCAGGAAAATGGGGCATTACCCCATTTAGCTTTCATGCTGTGAGATACTATATCCTTCTTTCAGTACTGAAATGACAGCATAATTGGGACATTAGTGAAATTTGCAGGTTGCCTGGGATGTGAGCAGAGGTTTCAACGTCCATTTGGCAGAAAAAAATGATAGCTAGTATTTAACAATTGCCTCATCACAGACTGACTTAATCCAAAGAGTTGATCTTTCAAGCACATTCATAGCAGTTTCTAGCTTGAAATAGTTAAGTAATGCCAAATAAGCTCTGTCCCTTTTCATTATGGTCTGCTGTGTGCCATGATGATAAAATATATGCCTTTACTAACCATCATTACAGAATGTTATTGCTGTATTACTAGTATTATTTTTGTTATTATATATTTTGATTAAATATTCCATCTAGAAGAACGAGAAGCTTTTTAAAAACTCAGATCCACACACTAGGATTTTTACATTTCATCCTAACATATTTGGTTATATAATCACTATACTGAATTCTTCAGATGAAGAAAAGAGCAGAAAAATATAACTTGTTAAGTAAGTAGTTTTAAATATTTCCATAGAGATTAAATTAATTTTCAAAATCAACTTGTTCTCCAAATAACAATTTGCTCTGCTTTTAATGAATGTACAGACATTTTCCCATGATATTTTGTTGTGACTACAGGACATAGATGGTTGCACTTTTTCAGGTTAATAAAATGTCACAATGATAACAGCATTTTAGTTATGTTTGTATTATGGAACATGTAGGAGCTGGAAGTTCATCATTTTTTATTATTACTGTTTCACTGTAGGATGTCAGCTGTAATGAAATCACAGCTTTGCCACAGCAGATAGGCCAGCTGAAATCTTTAAAAGAACTGAATGTCAGAAGAAATTACCTCGAAGTTTTACCCCAAGGTAAAAGCAAATGAACAAAAAGTCTTCACAGTAGCTCTTGTTATAATTTTGACAGTATTTTTAATCATATAAGTAGTTATTGCTAAAAAGTAGGTATTTGTGTTCAAATTTATTCCATTTGGGTCTGCAGAATATAACATTCAATGGTATCCACTGAAGAACAGCGTGTGAGGTTTCTTCAATGTATCCTCATGATTCTAGGCAACTTTTAAGTTAAACAAGTGTCTGAATGTAGTATGGGAAGTGTCAGCTGATTTTCAGGGAAAATAAAAATTTCAAAGTATTTGTTTTAGAATTTCTTGTCACTTGTGTAACAGCACTCTTTTATTTCACAGTATAAAATGGAGTAAATGTTGATATTATTCCTCCCTGAGTTTGTATTTTTCCTGAATGCAAAAGAAGGGTTATTAAGAACATTGTATTATTTTATGCTAAAAATAAAAACTGATATAACACCTTCTCTCCTTTTTATTACTTTTAGAACTAGTACAGCTTCCCTTGGTAAAGTTTGACTTTTCCTGCAATAAAGTGCTTGTGATTCCAATTTGTTTTAGAAAGATGACGCAGTTACAAGTATTACTGCTTGAGAATAATCCTTTGCAATCTCCACCAGCACAAGTAAGTAATAATTGAAGTTGTGTCTTAATATTGGATGGCTGCTAACACATTTTAGAGTGTAAAATGTCACCTTCTGCAATTGCAGGCTTCTGAATTTCAGTCATCACAGACTGTTGATAGTTGTTGATATTTAAATAAGACATAGGATGTATCTAAATAAGACGTTAAAAATATCCTCTGTTCTCAATATGAATTTGTACAGCACTTAAACCAATACACACATCTAGAAGATGTTGATTCTGTTAGCTGTTAATTTTTATGATTTCTATCTGCATATGAAAATTAACATTGGAATGTGTATATAATTTTAAAAGAAGTAGTGATATACTTCCTGGGTATTTTTTCTTTCTGGTAAAATGAATCCAGTTCTAGGAGGTTATACAGTGATTTGCTAACTTTAACTTAAAAAATATGCCTAAATAGTCTAAAACACAATCCATGTGAAGTTTATTTCAATTTATATTGTAAGTTCATAGATTGTGATGCACAAAGAAATAAAACTCCTCTTTGGAGCTGTAGGCCACTCTTAGTAATAAAGATAAGTGAATGCAGCCTGTGTTTGCTGCTTAAGGACTATTTATATTCTTTTTTATTGTTGTTAACTTACTGGACAGTAAATTCAAACTGCATCTCTGAAAGCCACAAGTGTTCTGGCTCAACAGTTTTTGAAATACTTAAGAATTTTTATTACATTGGAGAAATGCTTTTCATAATCAATAGTGATACTGCCTTTAAACTAAAAAATACAAAGCAAGAGGTGTGCACTTAAAGAAAAAGAAAGTTATGAAATGACAATGAATTGCATCATAAGTATTCTTGGACACTATTAATAACCATGTGACCAAGAATATAAAGAGAACACCAGTTAATTAAATGTCATGATACACTAATTTTGAAAATAATTAATTACCCAATTTATGTTACTAATAGGCCATACCATATGTTTGAATGTCTTTTATTTTCGAGTTAGACGCTCATTTGGATTTTCTTAAAGAATACATTATTTTGTTGTTTTCTCTCTTAGGCTCTGAGGGTATTTATATTGGTAGACAGAAATAATTGAGTATATAATTGAAGTACTTAGTAATTTTAAAAAAAATCAATTTTCCTTTAAGTGAAATTTATAATATTAGTTGAATTTCAGGGAGGTTTGTACTAAGTGACAATTGGAATAAATTGCCTTTTTTATTCTAATTTTAAACCTATTTTTTTCCTTGTCCCACAGATTTGTACAAAGGGTAAGGTGCATATATTCAAATATCTGACTGTACAAGCCTGTCAGATTAAAACAGCAGACTCGCTGTATCTTAATGCCATTGAACCACAGCATTTGCCACAGCCTGTGGAAGAGAGGTATGTATGAAAACCTCACTTATTTTTTTCATGTAACATTTACAAACAATTAAATTACAAACAATTAAATACTAAATTAAATAGTATTTATCTTTAGGTTCCACAGTTTTGTTTGTTTAGATGCTATTCAAAGTGTACTTTTTTTGCACAGAGATTTCATTTACTTTTATTCTAATTCAATCCCTGTAAGAGTTCAGAAAATTAAAAATCAGTTCTGATTAAAGTTAACAGCACATTAGTTAAGAGTTTAAAAGTGAACCTTAGTTTAAATCTAACTTCTTTCTAGTGGACTCCTGGAACACGTTGAAAATAATCAGATGGTAGTTACATTAGGTGTTGGCTTGATCTATCTACACATTAAAGCAATTTTAATTTTACATGTTTTGTGATTTTTGTGATGTGTTTTATGATTTATATGTGATTTATATGTTTGCACTTTTGTGACATTTTAATCTTTTTAAATTTATCCAAAATCATCTGTCAGACAAAGAGAACTGCATGAATGTCGAGATGCTTTTAAAATGCAGTGTGCTGATTTGTTAGCAAAATGAGGCAAAATCTTCTATCTGGTATCAGTCTTGTAGGAAATGGCATCTTGTACCATGGTTTAAGGACAGAAACCAGATACAAAGCAGCTCCTTTCTATGAGAATCTCCATAGCTGGTTGGAAATCAGCTTTTAGCCCAGTCTTTCTTTGCTAACAAGGGCAGTGTACTATAACCAATCAGAGAAAGTATGATATCTTTGAAGAGAAGTACTCAATGAAAACAAAGTGTTGATATTAGTGATAGTAGAGATATTACTGCTAAAATCCTGGGAGGAAAAACATCCAAGCGCTGTTACAGAATCTCCCTTTCAGTCATCTTAATAAGATTTAAATCAATTGTTTCTGTCCACGTACCTTTGGAGACCCCTTTGTGAATTTCTGTCAAATAAATGCCACAAGTAAGAAGAATCCAGGATGAAGAGTAGGTGTTTCATTTGGGAAACACTTACCGGTTTTCTATTTTGTTCTTTTAGTATACAAGAAAATTGTATACAGGAATGTCATGTCCTGTATGGTATTTTGGTCACATTGGAGAATACAGGTTTAGGGTAAGGGAATGGTACAGAGTAGATTTCCAAAGGCAGTTTTTGCAAAACAATCTTCAGTGTTTACTGATAAGAGGTAATTTAAGATTAGGAGTAATGAATCAGATACTTTATTCGCATGAAGGCTGATAAAGCTCCTTTCTTAAATTGTGATGTGAATCTGAATTTAGTGTCGCAGCTTTCAGGATAGCAAAAAAAAGGGATATAAGGTATATTTAAAAAAAAAATTAGGTGATGAGAGTACTGCATCTAATAGTGCATTTTAAAATGAGTAGAGGTCATATTGGGTAATGAAACCAGAATAGAGAACCTTTGCCGTTATTACAGTGATTTTTCTCAAAAACCTAAATTCCAAGGTCTATTTTAAGGCACCAAAAGAAGGTTTCTGTGTTAATAATTATTTCAAGCCTGAGGGAGATACATGTTCTGTTTTAATGGATCAATGGTTGCAATTGTATCAGTTGACTCCACTTTGAGTTTTACTATTTTGGTTTCTTTGTCCATGGCTAAATTGCTTCAGTCCTGTGCTGCTTAGCTAGTAACTAAGCAGTTTTGCATAGTGTATAGACAAAAGCAAGGTAGGAGCAGATTATTTCTGTTGCTTCATTAATCCTTAGGTTTATTATAATCCTTCATTAGTCCATTCAGTCTGATCTATTTTACCATCACCAGATTAAATGTTTGGTATTTTAGTGTACTAGGCTATTTCACCTTCTACCATTAAGAATAGTTTGAAACTTGCTCAGAGTTAAGTGAAACCAGAACAGAATTTGAATGTAAATGCTATGATAGCTTTTTATTGATTTTTAGTTTTCTATATTCACATCTAGCATTGATGACATCTACCCAAGTAAAAAGGATTCAGATTCAGGTGTTGGTAGTGATAATGGTGATAAACGTTTGTCAGCAACAGAGGTAAGTTACCTGCCTTTTGTGTCAAATTCCTCTCCCAGCACTCATATTTTGACTGTATTTTAAGTTTGGTAGTAATGTGAAAAGACTTTTAGACTTAAACCTCTGTAACCATATCCTTGACATGAAGTTTACACTAAGAAATATATAAAACAAAGGTAAAAGGAGACTGTGGGTGTTTTTGATTTAAATTTTTTTTTGTCTGTGCACTGTCTGGAGTGGGCATGAGATACTTGCTTCCAAATGGTTACAGACTTACCAATAGTCAAAATTCTCTACAGTTTTCTGACAGTTTACATAATCTAGAGAATGAGAAACAAACCAGAATTCTGTTGTTTTCAACAAAGTAAACATGGTAACAGGTTACAAGCTGATGACTTATGGCATATTTTTCTCTTTGCCTGATTACTCTTTCCTCTTGGGAACTTAGAGTGCCCAGTCTCAGTATGTTCTGTAATGTGGTTATGGAAGATTGTTATAGTGTAGAAACTTCAGAAACTTTGCAGATTTTAATGTGTTTAAATACTCTGGCACCTAGGCTGTGCTGAAAATAAACCTTCAACTCCTTTCCTGAACTTTGCTGTCTGACTGAGCAGAGAGAAAGGGTAGCTTTGTGGGACTAGTGTTGTCCTAAGCAGTTAGAACTGATTCACAGAGGGTTTTTTTCCGTGGCACTCTGTAGCTGAACAAGGCACTAAACATGTGTGAAGTTGAACTGAATAGATAATGATAAATAAGTAAATAATTAGTGATGATGATCTTTCTGAAATATACAGTAACGGCATTTGTAGTCTGACCTAATGGGAAAGGCCTCACATTAAAAGGATGACCTTCTTGCTACTTAAAATAGTTTTACACTGATTCTTTAGAGTTTTTGTCGTCCTTTGAGGAAAAGGGATTTTGTTTCTTTTGGAACAAATGTATGAAGAATCAAACTTAGGTACTGAATTTATAGTTACTCAAAAGCAAATAATGAACATGAGTCTACTTACTCATTGATTGGTCTTCTAAATATAATAGTACATAAAAAAAAACACCATGTGAATTTCCAAGTGTTTGGGCAAGTTTCTTGGTAGATGGAAGTGAAGTAGAATGGTTACGAATTCTAGCCAAATCTCTAATGGTTTACCTCTAGCTGTAAGAGCATTCAGTCTGTTGAGAGACACGTACAAACTATTTTGCCAGTCTTCCTCTTCCTGAAGCTCAGCTGGCTTGTTAATGAAACTTTTATCCCAGGATTTCCTGATTTCCTCTTTAGCTATAAATATCACCTTAAGAAAATGGATCATGTTACCTGTAATCAAAAGATAGCAATTGAAATGCTGCAAAAAATATTTTGAAAACTACTAACAATGAACCAATAATTTTAACTAGCACAAAACTTTTTTTATATAAGAACAATTTGCTCATTCTATCACCACCTGATTGCTGCTCTACTTTTAAGGAGAAATAGATGCTGAGATCAGTAATCCCAAATGCATTTGGTAGTAAATTTACCATGCACTTTCCTTCTGATGTGACCTTTCATACCTGTGTAACACATGGGAATTGTGCAAAAAATACTAGCATGATGCAAATACGTGCTCACATGTGTTGTTAATTACAGTCAGAAAGTTACATACCAAACTTTGGATAAACATTAAATCATCAGTCATAATCATTAAAACATGATCCTGGAAGTTTTTTTAATTAAATATAAATTACTGTTTAGTGTGTAGGGTAGTGGCTATTGAGTTTCTGTTCTTTTACAGAAAATACTACAATGTCATTTTTCATATGTAACTTAATAACATAAATGAATCACTTGTTTGAACACTAATGTAATTTTTACAAAGCTTGCTAATTGACTTTGGATGAATACACAGAAGAGGGGAGTACTTGTTGACATGAACTGCTTCTATATCTCTCTTGGACTTTGTAGGGTCCTTAAAGCACCAGTTTTCCCAGGTATAGAGGCAGTTTTCCCATCCTGGGCATTTCAAGTGAAAGATAATTTGTAGTGTTTCTGTAAAATTGTTCATTGCAACGTGAAGGTAAATTCTGCCTTAAGGCAGTCTACCATTTACCTCATATTTTAGGAAAAATACAGCATTTTTATTATTTTTCTCCATTTGGCCTTATTTTTCCTTTTGTTAAAATTTATTAGAATGAAATTAGAATGGTGTCTGTGCTTTATTACCTGTATGAATGATGCATTAGTACCAGCGGGAATATATATGAAGAATCTTTCAAAGTGCATCATCTCAATTCTGTCTTAGAATAATGTTAGGTGTTTTTGATTCTGGTTTGTCTATTGTCTTCTCTTGCTGTCTCAATAAAACTAGAACTGTAGAAGAAGGAAGTTGGATACAGTATTTCACCTGCGAAGGAGTGATACTTTTGTATTATCCAAGGCTGCTTTAGATAGGTTTTGTTTCACAGTATAGTGGCAGGAAACACCTGGAAAATTAGTTGCAGAATTCTGTAGGTCCTGAAAGTGAGGCATTACCTGTTAAAGGAATATCTTTTGTTTCCAAATTGTCTGTTCCTTTTTTTATACCAACACTCCAAAATATTTTCTTCCAAGTGCATGTTACGCTGCTGAACGGAAAAAGAAAAAATTGTAACTGTTTCGGATCCAGAACTTTGAATAATGTGTGTAGGGACATTTTACTGTACTATTTTCAAAGGATAGTTGAAAAATTAACACAGCATGAACTTTGATCTAGAATAATCAAATTTAGTACTTAAATGTCATGTGAGATACAGCCTGAAAGAGAAGGAACTTCACTGTAACCCTGGTTGTCTGAGTGAATTTATATTGTTCTTGTCTTTTTAAGCTGTTGGATTGTCATTGCTTCTGATCTAAAAGACTTCTGTGTTTAGGGTACTTGGAGTGCAATTTATTTTCTGTTGGAGATACTATTTGGTTTAATTTTAAAATATCACTAATTTTAAAATTTAAAATTTATTTTGAAAAGGCTTTATGACACCCCTGAACACCCTTTTTTTCCTCCTTAATTTTTTTCTCCTTAAGCCGAAAAATACAGCCAGTGAATTCATAGAGTTAATAACATGCAGTTTCTTCATCAGAAAGAACATTCATCATGGTCCACATTTACAACATGTTTTGAGTCCAGGGTATTCTTGGAAAATAGGAATAACCACATTTATCTTTGATAGGGTTTTTAAGAGCAAGTTGGATTTGCTCCATCCTTTATCACAAACTGTAGCTTCCTGTAGCTTCAGGAGTTAAAAAAATACTTTCAACATAGTTTATGAACATCTAAATTAGCAAGAATGGCAAACTTCTACTAGAAGCTAGCTAGAATTAAATAACTGATTATATGTAACACATTTCATTACAGATCTTTTTTGATACAGTTGTCTGAACTGAAACAATGGGGAATATAATTTCCTTTAAAGTTTCTTTTTTCAAGGCTACGGAGCAAAGTGCTATTTGCGCTATATAGCAGTTATAATTACAGAATACATGTATGGATAATGTATGCACAGTGTAACAAGTTACAGAAACACAGAGCATTTAAATAATGAGCAACATTCATGGGCTATCTGGAAAATACATTTGCAAAGTTCTGAAACTGTTGTAGTGGTAAGTTCTCTGTCTCAGGGGAGCAAGAATAGAAACTTGGCCTCTTCTGCAAACTGTGGTTCTGCTGTAGCTCACCTCAGGAGGGGATGTGAGCAGGTCTGTCTTGAGCAGGTGATTGCTGGCCTTGCAAAGAAACAGAGCCATAGTGGCCTGGGACACAATTGTGTCTGTGCTTTGTTGTGCAGCTGCTATCTGTAAAGTCATAGACAGGATAGGTTTGGTAGATACAAGTCAGGTGTTTTAGTGTACCAGCTAATAGAGCTCAAAAAATGGGTGAGCTTTTAAGTCAGGAAAAGCTAGTGTACTTGAGAGTCTATGCCTTTTTTCTTTCAGCTCTGTCAGTTAACATAATTAGATATTGCCTTGCTTGGTGTTGATCTTGCTTGCTGTAGGCATTCAGTTCAGAAGCTGCATGGTAAAGCAGGGAAGAAGAGTTGTGGAGGGAAAAAAAGGGGCCATCATATGAGGCTCAGTGTTTCTACAGCCTTTAGTGGCTACAAGGAGGCTCTGTTTTCAGCTGCCCCAGGGAAGCACAGACAGCAGCACAGTGCAGTGGTGTCAGTGCAACGAGAGGACTAGTGCCAATGAGTAAGACAGGAAAGGAGGACATGTGAATTGTTCTACTTGGCAAACCTCATGTGAGGATATATTCAGCGTGATTACAACTTCTTACAACAGGATGTGGTCGTGTTAGAGGCTCTGGTAACCTCTCCCATGTTAATTTGCAGCTCTTTAGTGGGCAATCTTGTTAACATGTACATTTTTGTCATTCTTGGTTTGACCTGGGACTAGTGTTTCTCTTATTTTTTCCTAGCCATCTGATGAAGATACTATCAGCTTCAATGTTCCAATGTCGGACATTGTGGAAGAAGATCATATTATAAAGGATGATTCGGGTCACCATGCTAACTCAAGAAAAGGTTGGAATGTAAAAAACAGGGAAATTCTGTTGTTGATTCCATGCCTGCCTGCTTACCCAGAGGGCTTTGGGCATGCATATGCAGTTGTGTAAAAATGGAAGAAGTATGCTACTTAGAAAATCTTTACTATACTGAATTGTTTACTGTCTAGTAATTTTCAACAGCATTTCCAAAATACTTGCTGCACCTTGTCTCAAGAGTTAATAAGATCTGATTCTGACTGGGGGAAGAAAAGTTAAAGTTGGTTTGAGCCGTGTTATCCTTCAATTAATATCAATGATCAGTAATTTAGCAAACTGCAGTAATGGAGTCCTGCTATTTCTATAGCTGCACTTAGTGTATATATGAAGCTTTTTTAGTCAGTCAGCATCACCTCTGGAAACGAGTAAATGTCTTCATATTTTGTGAGAGATCTAATTTTATCCATTTTTTAAAAAGTCAATTGTATTTTTTAAATTACACTACGTAGTGATAATAGTTCTCCAAGTTCTGCACGTACTAATAATGAATAGCAGGATGAAGTCAGCAAGTTGCATATGGAAACCACATGAATAGGAGACGGCACATCCTCAGCATTACCCACTTTAGTGAACTTCCATGGAGAACTCATCAGAATTTGGTAGAATATGAAGAGAGATAGCAGGATTTTATCCTACGGTGTTTATTAGCAAACTGGAGAGGGTAAATCATAGGATCATATCCTTGGAGATAGTCTGTGTAGACAAAAGATTAGGGCAGGCTCTAAATAATTTTGCTGGCTACTTGATGGTTTATTACAGCACAGTAACTCTGAAATTGCATTCAATTGCAAGTCACTGCCTAAGACATCTGAATTTCTTAAACACTGCACAGTTAAACACTGCACAGTTGTTTCAGCTGTGTTCTTGTATTGGGACTGGCAAGACAGACTTGATGCAGTTCAAAACTGGCTCCTTCAGTGCTTGCTGTAGTGCTTTTGATATACAGCTGTATATACCCAGAAAATGGACTTATTGCAATTCAGAAATGATTTGGCATCACTGTTTGCAAAGACAGGCTCTTAACCTGTTTAAAATTTTTAATATGAATTTAAACTTAATTTTTGAGATCATTCTTCTTTTTTTTTTTTTTTCATTGCTGTTCCTAGTGGAATTCCATCAAGGATCTTCTCATACGTTTGTCAATGATAAGTCACGAGAAACAGAAAACCAGTTTGATGAACAGGATACTCTTACTACTGAATTTATGAGCTACATTAAGGCAAGTTTGTGACAATGTTAAGTGGGAAAAATATTTCTGCTACTTTTGTAAGTGCAGAGTAAATAGAAATGTTAAATAGCAGATATTTTAATAAGAGACTGCAGCTAATATTAATTGTTTTAAAAATATGCAGAAAGCAAAAATAAGCAGATATGTTTAAAATTATTACAACGGATCTAGGACAATTTACCCGGAACTCTCTTTAGGATATGTGAGAGTTATCCTTTAACTATGTTTAAGGCTTTAAGAAAAATGGCAGTTTTTTCTGTGCTATTTGCTTTATATTTTGAGTAGAGTGATTTATTCTGTTTGTTACATTGCTAAAATGTGGGATAACTTTGTGCTAGCTGTGGTGGCTAATTTTTGAAGTAATGTTATGGTACTAAAATGCATTTTCTCAATTTTTTTAAACATTATAATAGCAGTTGAGAGATCCTTAAAGACAATTTAAATTACCTTCTAGAATAAGTACTACATTTTTGTTGTCCTATGATATGTACCCTTGTTATAGGACAGCATCATGGTCATTATTCCTGTAAGGTGAACAAACATGAAAAAGAATGGCTTTATTCATTCTGCTAGGGATTGTCACTGGGAAATGAGCCATCATTGGAGAGTGTTAGAGAAGCTGGTACACTCTTCAGTGTCACATACATCAGAATTGGGTAGAATTTATTGATACAGGATGATGCAACCGACATGCCAAACACATGACACAAAAGAGGATTGCTGTTTCTTCTCTAGAAGTACAAATACATATTCATTCAGAGAGCTTCTGTCTTTACTGGCAGCTGAACTACTTCAGTGTTCTTGCCTGTCTGAGATGAAAGAGTAGCAAAACACCAAGTGGAAGCATTAAAGAGATTCAGGTTTTCAAATAAGTAGCACTTCATGTTTGTGTGGGGGATTAATTTGACTATGTTGAACCCAAACTGGCTGACTGATGTGAATTCCTGGATGCAACTTTTGTTCCAATTTGTTCCTTTTAAAAAAGAAATGATTCATGGCTGTCAAAATTGTCAAATATGAATCCTGTTAATAGTTATGCATGAAGTGTGTAATTGACACTATTTGCATGTTTGGAATTTCCTTGCTTTGTAAACAAATCTGGCTGCAGTAGGAGAGCAAGGAGAAGGAGACTTGGGATCGTGCTTAATTGAAGCATTGTTTCTATATGCCAGAAAGTCACAAGTGCAATCTGGGACATAGAACAAAGAATTCTTATGCTGCTTGACTTCCTTCTCACAGTTAAGGGAGGGTAAGGGCTGTTGACCTCAATAAAATCTGAATAGAAGGTCTTGTAATCAGTATCTTAGGAGTGAGGAATGGAGCAGAAGTGTTGGATTGTTTCAGCCAGCCAGCCTAAGATGTTAAAGAAATTAGGTCAATACTGAGTTGGAAAGCAAAATTTATCTGCCTACTTAATTGCAAAGTTCAGTTCTCATTATCACTTTTGTCTCCGTACAGAGCAGAGCAGCAGAGTGTGATGAATTATTGAGAATAGAAGAGGACATGCAATGGCAAGCAGACGAAATGTGAGTATTTTTTATGTATCTATTAATAATTAGCTATGTTATTTAATTAGTTTGACCAGGAGTGGTATGACTTTGCTGTTTAATAATTTTGAAGATTTGGAGGCATGACAATAGTATAACCTTGCACTTTGTGTGTGTTGCTCAGTGTTTTACATTTTTTTTGCTGAATAGAGTGGATGTTATATTACAACTAATTAATTTCTATGTCCCAATAACTTTTTATCTGTGTAGATTGCAATCTTTTTTAATTAGGTACTTTGATACTTTGTTTATTAAAGGTATTCCCTTTAAAGGGATCATCCAAACTTGTAAGATCTAAATTTAATGTACATTTTAAAAATCAGTTTGGTTAGAAAACATATCTTATTCTTTTTCTTACTTGTTATAATTTTAACCTTGAAGCAATCATTTTTTTAATATATATTACTTCCAGAGTGGAACAAGTGAACATCAGTTGCTAAGTGCATAAGGAAAGGAAATTCAGCATGACTGTACTGTGAAGTTGTCACTCATCAGAACAGTGTAGTCCTATATGATATTAAAAAAAGACCCAAACCTGAAGGGAGGAAAGAATTTCTTTCTGAAAGTGCCTTATGGCAGAACTAATGGGAGGTTATATTTCTAATCCCCAGAAATAACTATAAATGTTGAAAAGCAAAAGAAAGCAAGCTGGCCTTTGTAAAAACTCATTCAATTTACTATTTGTGCTAAACAATACATGGGATGAGTGCCTTTAAGAGTCAGATATTGTTGAATAAATGTTCAGTTTTAGAAGTCATTCTGTTCAGTTGAATGCTTAAAGTTTTACTTCATCACATTAATTTATGTATGTATTAGGCTGGGGGGCTTTGTTAAGGACGAAGTGTTGGAGAGTTTTTTCAGAAGAAGCTTTTTCCATAAATTCAGCATATCCCAGTGTGCAGAGAGGCTGGTTTTCCCCCTACAGTGTTTGCATGCCAGTTGGAAAGTAGACCTCTCATATCGAAATTCACACTACCCTTAGTAATTGCTGTTGTACTTTTTTTAATGTTTTTGTTTTTTGTTATAGAATAAATTTATCAGAAGAACAAACTATTGATATAGCAATGATAGAACAACTAAGAGAAGCTGTAGATTTATTACAAGATTCCAACAGGTATGCTTACAGTAGCCAATATATAATAGTATAATAATATAATGTAATATATTTAAAATTTTTTTGTGAATTACATTAGAATTCTCTTTTAAATGTCAACTGAAAGCTCTCTGGAGTTGCCAAGTGCTTTGTTAGCATACCAGTGTGTTCTAGGTAGTTAAGGAAACTCAAATTCTCTCTTGAATATCTAAACAAGATTCCCAGTAAATTAAGGCATAAAAGAAACCTAAAACCAGAGGTGAGGACACCCCTTAACCATTCATCTCACGTGCACCACTGTGCTTATCTGCAGTTTTGTCTAGGATTGTCACATTTCTTTTAGGGACTACAAATTTTCCTCTTACTCATGCTTGGTATTTATCGTTGGAATGAGAAGGGCTTCTGGCCCATCTTCATACCAATTCAGTGAAGCACATAAAGGAGGTGCCTGAATTAGTGGGGGAGTTTCTTTAGTTTTCCGAAATCCAAAGGAGGAAGAGGCAAAGAAAGTTACTTAGATTTCCCCTGACTACAGAAGACAAGCTTTTATGATTTAGATGCCCATTTTAAGTGGCCGAAGTCACAAAGAATGGCTCTGGAACTGCAGCTAAACAAAAGAATAGATATTTAAAAGAAAGCAAGTGATTGGCCTACTGGAAAGGTATGTGGTGGTGCCTGTAGTTCTGTCTGTTCTGTCTGTCTGTATGCTTGCTATTGCTTTTCTTAGTGTAATCACCTTCAGAAATTAAGTTCATTTCAAAACTCATTTTAATTCTTACTTCTATGAAGTAGCTGATTTGCAGCTTCATTTCTCTGAAGATTAGAAACCTCCTTGTCACTTCAGCCTTAAGTATGCTTGGTTCTCTTTCCTCCCTTTATAGCTACTTGCTTTTGTGACTACACTGTTCTTTACTTTAAATGCCTATTTTGAACTGCTTTTTCACCTAGCAGACTTTTTTACTTTTAGGACAGAAATTGATTCCTGCTAGTATTTCTAGAGAGACAGCTGGTTTTATTTTGCATCGTAGAAAGAATACTTGGATTTTTGAATCATACACTAAATACTTGAATAAAAATATATTTTCTTAATAAAATGTTGTAAAATTAGGAAATAGACAATTAGGAAATCTCTTTAGTTCCTTTAGCTTCCTGGTACCATTGTTTCTGCGTCTCATATGAGGCTTATTACTTTGTCAGAAGAGTGTTGTAGTTAAAAAAGGAAAGTGTTTGTTTCAGAAAAATACACCAGCAAAATACTTCAGTTGTTATCCTGATAAATTTTGCTAATTTGCTTTTTTGTTTCCCAACATTGTCCTAATATTTCCTACATATTTAGGCACTTCTATTAAATTGAGAAGGTCAATAAAATACAGGAAATCTGGCTTTTGTTTACACACAGAGATAGTTTTAGTAAATTTAATAATTACTTGTAGAAGTGGCTGATCATGTCATGTATGTCTGTATTTCTCTACTGTTATTTTTACAGCATTTGGGGGATTTGTGACTGCAGTTTTTTTTCTCACCTTAAAATATGAACATTTATATTTTATTTTCTGAGTGCCATATTGGCTTTTCAATATACACCTCCTGTATATTAGCATCCAGACCTAAGGAGCAAGATACATTTGAGTACCAAGTACTTGTCAAATGATGCTATAGACTTTCAGTCCTCTGGATCATGGGTTCCTTCTCCATGGGTTCCTTCTTTTTTTTTTTTTTCCCCAATAATTACTGGATTTTATGGCATTTTGTTATATACTTGATTTATATAAAGCACTGTGAGAAATTTTTTGGTTTCATACTCAAGAGGTTTTGTGTGTATCCAGATCCAGAAAGGAGTGTAAATGCTTACTTTAAGATGCACAAAACTGGCATTTGCTTTTAACTTAAACTTAGAGCATGTCAACCACTGTGACTTTTTCCAGTTTCCTTTGTGCATCCATATAACGCTGGTGGCCTAGTCAGGGTAACCTGGTTGAAATAATTAACTCAGTCCAGGACCATCCTTATCTCACACTGAAAGCCCTTTAGGAGAAAACACTGTAGGGGCTGGAGCAGTTGGTGATGCTGGTGCACCTAACGTGCTCTGACTGGAATTCTTTCAAGCTGTTTTTGCTAGTGGGTGTGATTTTTAAACTTATGAAACGCTTGTCCAGTTACTGTTGGTTTAGTGTTCTGCAGAGTTTAAAATCTGCATACCCTGTTACACACAGGCAGAATTTTGTTTCTGGGAAGAGATTTCAAATTCAACTTTTTTCAATATTTTCAGTGTTTGCATTGTATTTCTATATTTGCTTTCCTGTATTTCCTACTTTCTTTCGTTTTCTATTTTACCGCTTTATTTTCAGCCACTGTAAATTAAGTGGAAATATTAGGCAAAGCTGTGGCTTCCATTTGATCACTGGGTTCTAGAGGTTAGATACAGAAATCTGCAGGCTTCTAGATAGCAATACAGTTGTTGGTAGTAAACAGGTCCGTTTGTTTTGAAAGAAGCCATAGCTCGGGGTGGTACTTTGCAAATGAAACCATGAATGGTGCTTCAGACTGAACTGAAGCATCAGGAGGCATTTCCAAAAGCTCTTAAGAGATTACACTGAACAGTTTAAAATGATAACTATAAAAATAGTTCATGTATATATTTGTTTGAAATTAAATATTGAATAGAATTGTTACTAAAGTTAAAAACATTGTACTGGGCTATATTTCAAACCTTGCAGATTAAGCATGGATATTTCAGAGAGTAGTGCTGTGAATCTGTATCCCACAGAACCAGCAACAGTTTTATAATTTCAAGACTCTACAGTAAAGTGTGTTTATATACCTTCTTTAGAAAAAAAATTGTTAAGTGTATCATGTTCAAGTTGCTACATGATGAATTACATATTTGTCTTTGTCTTTATATATAGTGGTCAATTACTGATGGACATGTCTTCTCTTGGTCAGGTATGTTAATAAGTGTATAATTGCAAAATAATCTGGGGGGAAAGACAGAAAATGAACCCACAATTTCATCAATTAGTAATTTGCCAAGTAGGAAAGGTAAAAAGTAAGTACGCTGAAGGGCATAAATAATTCTTCTTTAACATATTTATGGAATTGTGGGGCTTGTTTGTTTTTGTCTCTGTGTGTGTCTGTAGATGTAAAATTTTTCGGTGTTTATCTGTTACTCTTTCATTTTAGTTTCCCCACCCTGTATCCCTATATGTCAGTTCAGCTATGCTTCATCATCTACCATTTGACCCACTTGCCCTGTGCCCCCCATCCCCACCCCATCTCCACCTTCTGGTGTAGGGAAACTATATTCATTAAGGATGAGCCCAAAATAATTTGTAAAATAAAAATCAGTGTTTTTCCAGAGTACTTTCAGTATAGTTACAGAGTATAGTTAAAGTATGGAGTTTGAGTTTTACAGTGTGATATATGTTTCTTATTATTTGTTCTGTATCCTGTCTGATGAAATAATTTTTTTAATGAAGTAGTTGGTTTAGATTTACATTATCCACCTGTTAGTGCTGGAACTGCACTTGCATAGTATCTACTTGTTTCCGTGTCTGCTTTATATCCCAGTATTTGTAAGAAATACTCCAAAGTAATGCTATGCAGAAAAAAAAAAAAAAGAGTTCTGTTTCCAGTAGTACAGACAGAAGAGTTATATATCTTACAGAGAGAAAATGCTGAAGAGGAACTGGAATTCCAGAGGAGGAGGGAGTTGATTATGGAGAAAGCAAAGCCTGAAGCAAGAACTTGTGAACAGGGTGAAAAATGGTCATTGAGCCAGGTATGGAAGTGTCCAGATACAATAAATGTGGAAACATTTGGAATGGATCATTGCATTCTGTCAATTTGTGTGCAGACATGATGGGTTTAGAACCAGTGTGGGAATTGGGCTTTTTTTTGCCTTAGCATGAATCTCAAGATTTGACTGCAAATGGGAAGTTGATTAAGTCCTATCCCTTTGGAAAGAACTAATATAATAAATACATCCAATAAAAGCATAGTAGTTGCAGGGGTTGCGTTCCCCTGGGAAAAAATGTCTCCAAGTTAGATCTTCAAGAAAATGAAGCACCTGTCTCTTTTTCTCACCTTACCCCTAATATTCTTTTGTAGTTATACAAGTTTCTAAGTTTGTTAGCCACAGGTTTTTTATTGTATTTAATATTGCAAGCAGACTGTATATAGGTTGAGGTGATATTTTTTGAAGTTCCAAAAATATTTTAAGATTTCTATATTGTAATGATCCAGAAATGTAGAGCTACAAAAAAAACATAAATATTTGGGGTGTATGTTATTGCTTCAGAACTTGCTATATAGGGATTTTGTGACTGCACTTGGCAAGGAGATTGTGAGAACAAAATTACAGAAGATGCTGTCTATATTGGCAGTACCTTAATATTGTCTGTGCTATCCAGAAATAGTGGGTTTTTTTGTTTGGTTTTTTTGGTTTTGTTTTTCTTGATGTTTTTCAAATGTTCGTATGTATAATCATCATCATATCAGATACTACTGTGATAAAGCTCTGTGACTGTTGGGACCTAATGTTCCAAGTGCTCTCTTTTGTTTCCATTTTTTGTCAATTAAAAAAAAATTGACCCTGGGGAAATTGTTTTGAATTGAATTATAATTTACTTATGCCAGTTGTCTTTCTGCTGAGTTATGATTGCTGCTCAATTAATGATTTTGTTTCATATTTATCAATGTGGTGTACATGTTTCCAATGTAACTATTACAGAAGTGGTAACAAAAGGTATGTTATATTGCAATTATAAATGTAATTGTTTACAGAATACCTTTCTTCAAATCTGTATTGAAAATGTATATTTTAAAATTAAATCTTCATGATAGTTTAATTAAAAGAAATACGCTGCATTTTAAGCAATAAACATTAAAATCTTATAAATACACTTATAATCCCTTAGTATTGAAGCAAAAAAGTAAATTACAAATCTGTGTGAATTGTTTCCACATGCTTTTTAAAAAAAGAGTTATTCAGCTAGCAATAGAAATATTTGATTCATGCAAATTATTCATTTCAGTGGAAAAAAAAATAAAATGTGTATCTGACTGTAATTAGTAAAATTTCCCATTGCAGTGTATCTGAAATATTTTCAGGTTCTGAAATGTTTTTTGTCTTTTTTATTTTTTTACTTTCATGCAGAATGACCTAATTGTTTGGAACACAAGCGGGCAAACCTCTCACAATGAGGTGAGATGTCATTTGTTTGTCTCTTATATGTTTTATATGAATGTTTCATAGACTAAATGAAACAACACTGAATTCCACAGAACATATGACTGAGATTTGCATCAGAAATGGATGTGGTTTGCTTGGCATGTAGTTTAATCTTGTCATCTCTGAGATTTACTAGGGTATAAAAATATGCCTTCTGATCAGTTTGCTTCAGAGTTATGCAGTTTAGTATAAAACATTTAAATTTTTTACATTTTCTCCATTCAGACACACTTTTAAAATTTTTCTTTTTTTAATTCTTCCTTCTTCCTGGTTCAACAAGATTTTCTATTGATTTCAGTGCTGTTTCTTTTTGCACAGTTGTGTCATGTCCTTGATTAGTTTTCAGAGAGGCATCTAATTTTATTGATCCTGTAGCTTTCTCTTGTAAATCTCATTGGAAGATCAAAAAGGCAAAAGGCAAAAACAATATGGAGCTCCATATGGAGATTATTTACCTTTTTTTTTTTTTTTGTGCAGAAGTAGGGCTTCTCTCTCTATATTGCATTGGGCATAAGCATATTGCAAATTTGTGAACACACAGCCACCATCCACCATTCTTGGTGATGGGAATTCTGTAGTTCCCAGTGGAATCACTTGTTAAGTGGAATTCCCATTATGTGGTTCCCATTATGGGACTCTTTTGGCGTTGCCATTGGTGCTATGATGCTGTTCGATTCTTCCTGCTACGACTCTTAGCCTAATTCAGGGTCAGGGGAGATCCTGCTCTGAGGCACAAGCTTAATTTCCACTTTTCTGTTTTTTAATGCAGAAATTTGGTGTTGAATGGAAAATACCATGCAGAGTAGTAATTAACCCTGTGAAAGAAACAAACGTGCTAAGGAAAAGACATGCCTTTGCTTTGGTTTTTGAAATGTACTCTGCCACAAAATGTATGTCTGATGGAGCCAAATGATGACATAGGAGAAAACTGATAAATAATTGAGCTTATTTATAACTAGGGGGAATATCTTGCTGTCTTTTATCAGAAACTCGTATTTTCTAACAGAGAAATAAGGTGCAATAAAAAAGGAAGATTTTCATAGGTTTGGGACTTTATTGTGATCAGATTATGGGAATAGTTATAGCATGCAGTAGTGTTAACTTTTGCATATTGCATGATCAGATATGCTGAGATATATTCTGGGTTTTATTCTAACTTTGACGTATGTTCTTGAATTACACAGAATAAGGATAAAAGTCCAACAATGTCTCCTATTACAAACACCACAATTCCTTTTGGCCTGAAGCCACGATCAGGTAATGTGAGCAGACAGTTTGTGTGTACTGGTTTGGGTTTTTTTGCATCTCTATTATGATTAGACATCTCTATTTTTCCCCATGAAGAAGTAAGCAATGTAACATTTTCTGTACAACAGTTAGAAGAAGCTTGGAACATTTAAAGGTTCTCTAGTTTTGAATCAAGATTGAATTTGTAAGAAGTATTTATTTGCACATTATATATGGATCAATTTTCATCCATTTCTAGTAAATTTGGTATTTTATAAAATTATATGTATATAAAAATGTGTCTGGATATAACTACACATTTTATATGCATATATATATTTATCATCTGTGCTGACATACTAATTGAAATAAGATTTTTTGCTTGATTAGTATGTGGTGATACAGTTCATATTTTGTTCAAAAATATATGTGAATAATTAGACTATTTTGGAAAACACTTGTTGCTCTGAAAATTTTTCACTTTATTGAGTCTGTCAGTAGTTAGGCTTGAGTAAAGATCAAGCGTTATGGAAAGGTTACATCTTTACTTCAGCCAGCAACTGAGTTCAGTGAATTTGCAATGCACTGTATCTATGTAACCACCAGTCTTTTAACAAGCAGCAGTTTATTTGAAAACAAAGAAACAAACTAAACCTAAAAACAAGTATCAACAAAAAACCTCCCAAACACAGAGATGTATTTGAGGGCTTGGATAACAGCTTCCTTTAAAAACTGGATTAGCTACACATTTTAATTCAGTTTTTGTCTTCTCTGTGCAGAGGTAGTCAATATTAAGTCATGCCATATCTCCTCTGATGAGTGGCTGTAGTTTCCAGTATGATTCAGCATACTAAGACCATAGTTATGTTTTCTCTCATTCACCACAAATGCTTTTAAAGTGATGGTAAACCCCTACAAGCTTGTAGTTTCCATTACAAAATACTTAGTAATAATGGCAGCAGTTCGTGAAACTGCTGGTGAAACATTGTGAAAATGTTTATGAAATTGTACCCATAGATTTAGTTGGTTTTTGTTTGTGTTTTTTTTAAAGTATTAGAAAGCTATTTTTATGAAGGAATATACTTGAAGTTTCTCAAGTAGTTGTCATATATAGTTAGACAGATCTGTTCCACTGCATTTCTTTGGTTGTTGGAATGCGATCTCAGTCTGTCTTGTTCCTGATGATTTAGAAATATTGATATTTCTACATAAGTTTAAAATACAGGTTAAATGGTGAGCAAATGGGTCCTTTCAGGATCTGTTGAAAATAAAACATGGAGTAATATTGCATAGTCCAGTGGTGATATTGCAATATCGCTGTTAGGAGAAAAAAGTGAAGGAGCCCAGGCCATGTTGCTGCTTTCACAGGATATGGGCTGTGTTCTGAGCCCACAGTGAAATCTGCTGCTGGGGGTTGGAAGTTGCTTTGTGGAAGAATATGCAAGACTGAGTTCTTGTTCAAGTCTTAGTTTAACATGCACTTTTGAATCTTGGCATATCATGCCCAAGTGTCTTATACTTAATGACTAGAATTGGTACAGGTGAAATAGCCTAGTGACTCTATTTTTGAGAGAATTTCTGGAAAGGCTGGGTTGCAATGTTTGCAACAAAACCTCCAAGTCACATGATTCAAGACCAGATGTGCACAAGTCCTACACTTTGTCCCCTTTTTATATATTGCAGCTGTGTATAGCCTCATTGAATACCAAAGTCAGTTGGTTAGAACATGCTGATTTTCTGCACTGTACTAATTGAAGTTCATATATTCTAAAATCTTTGAGCATGCCAATACTGGAGTGTCTTTTGGTCATGTTATGGTTGTGTTAAACTCGATAATGTGAATTTATTTTCTTTTCCATATGAGACACTGCAGGCACTAAGACCCATTACTGCACAGTTTCTCACTTGATCATGTCTAGCTTCAGTCATCTTACCTTAAATTTATACCATGTAAGATAGGGGAACTTGGCAATAGTAAAACTTGATGTCCAGTTTCAGATAAAAATACAGTGTATTAGCTATGTAGCACCATGTTCAAAATGAAACCTTGCAAAGGCATTGTAAAGCTGCACGTTTCATCTTCTGCTGTTTTGCTAGCATACCAGAAATACTTACAGATAGGAGTAGTACATGGCAGAGAATACTGGCATGTTTGTGAAGCCTGCATGTTTGTCCTTTGAAAGCTGGTTTGCTTGGCAGGTCTGTAGTTTCTTCATTTTATTTCCTTTAAAACTTTGTACAAGTTTTGTGCATTTGAACCATCCCATTACTGGTTGGAATTCATACTTGTTGATTTAATACTGCTTTATTATCATAGACCTGAGCTAGTGAAGAGGTCCAGCATTTCTGTGACCCAGGAAAGCTTTTCAGCTTAGTTTGTGGTGTATTTTGTAGGTAATTTTCATTTCAGTTCTTAATGGCCATCATGGAAATGTTAAAACTTACTGGAAATGTAAGCTCAAATGAGGTTAGAGAAGTTAGAGAGTCCTAATGACTTTAACTTTGTTAGAGCTTACTTTTGAATTAATTGGCTCTATAAATCTCTTAAATCCAAGTGCAACATTAAAAGGACATTGAAGTGTTCTAAATAAAATGTGTCCACCATGCTCTGTGGAAAAAACAGTGGCAAATTTTCAATGAAAATATATGCAACCACATTTTTTCTGAAATTTGAGCATTTATTTTCACTGTTTATTTTCATCTATTTGAAATGAATGTTGCTTTCTATTTGACTTTCTGTTCTCCTCATCATTTCATAATGGTTTATGTCTCTTGGAAAGGTGAAAGTAAACTGTTCTAGACTTGTGGTAAAGATTCCAGTTTTTTGAAGTACACACACAAATATAAGTGCTTCCAGAGGATAAACCACAGTGGCTTAAACTTCTGTGTTAGTACATACTGATATGTGTTCAGCACTGAAAGTCCTTTTATACCTTCATTTTTAAGGTAGGAAAAACATTGGGGAAATTCATATCTGATGGCTGACAGAACCCAAAGTAGCAAAAGAAAATATTTTGAAAGGTAATGAATATATTTACATTTCTTGAAAGATTTTTTCCAAGAGTCAGAAGTTTATTTGAATGTAAAAAGGATTTTTTAATTTCTCAGATTATTTCCTTCTGTATTTTAAATATTTTCAGAGAGTATGGACTTTTCAAATTCACATTAATTTTGAAAACCTTAAAAATTCCATTGAACAGAAACATTTTCTTAGAGCTGTAGTTTTCCTCTTGGGAAGTGCATTAGCACTCTGAAAAGGAATTGTGGAAAATAGCAAATAAATTTAATTCTCCATCCTTCATCCATGAATTGATTAAAATGTTCAAAGTGGTGCTAGTTGTTGAAATTGAGAGTTGCCAAGGTCTTGTGCTATCTTTAATACACCAGACCATCAAGTCTGAACAACTTCTAATACATCTTGCAATCAAGAGTTGTTTTTCCTTTTGTGTTGTGCCATTTCTAGGTCACTGTGTTTCTTAGTTTCTACTGAACAAAGTGACAGCAACACAGACAAAAAAATTTCTACTGTCAGAGGCTGAAGCAATCACTGACAAAATTTAAGTCACAAAGCGCTTTGTATTCTGAAGTGAGAAGTTGTTCCCTTGCAACTGTTCATAACATAACATTGTTATGCAGCATAACATGAATCTAGTGCCTTCAGTTTGGGTGACTTGTAGAGAACTTGAAGCATAATGTTAGTATCCATGGTAGACATGCTTGTATTTCAAGTTAGTTGGAACATATAATGATCAATGGAACTTGACAGTATTTTTCTCTCATTTGAGTGCTCATTACTGTCTTTCTCTCTCTGGATATTTATTCCTTCCATTTGTTTTGTTCCCTAACTGCACTGTCTGTGTACTTTGGAAAATAGTTGAGAATCCCAATTGCTACCAGAGTCAGACTGTTTACCTTTTGCCATAAATCTGTGTACTGTTACTCAGTGTTGACTCAGAGTTTAAGTTGTGCTGACTCTGAATTTCAGCTGGTGTCCCAATAGCCAGAAGCAGTGACCCAGCCTCGGGAAAGTTTAAAGAGAGAGAGCTGTGAAACTCTGAAAAGAAGTTTAAGGTGAAATTTTATGTGACACAATCTCAATTACTATCACGTTAATACTTTGATTCCAAAATTGCGGGTAGGAGAAATCCTACATGAATAAGTTCCTTCTGAATGTTAGTTTGGTGTGTTAGAAAAGAGGGACTTTCTGTGCCTACTGAAACTTTACTTTGGACTTTATTCTAATATTTGAGTGGTTTTAGTTGCTTTTAGATCTGCACAGCAATCTTGAATTGATTTGTGTTTATGGTTTAGCATTTAGAGCAGAGGTAGTTTAGTCTCTAGTTTGGTCTGAGGAACATGGATGTCGCTTGTGTGTAGGATTCAGTAGATAAATGTGAAGATACATGTAGAAAAATAAGAAATGAGTGAATTAATTTTTTTTTTTTTCTGAAGTGATAAGGAACATTGTGATCAAATACAGAAAGAGTTCATTAAGGAGCAACATCACTGTGAAAGGCAGAAAAGATTTAAATCTCTGTCAGAAAATAGGAAACCAGTGTGAAGCTTTGAAAGGATGGATGATATGCTGAAGAGATTCAGGAAGGAGATATTTTAAGGGTGTCAGTATCCAGTTCTGAAACACTATAGAATCGAGGTTTGAGGAAAGCTTGGGCAGAAATCCTTGCCACAATTGAGACAAGAGACAGAAGCACAGAGCAGATGTGGTGGGAAAGGAAAAAAAACTGCAGAAGGATCTGAGGATCAGTAAGAGGTGGTGTGGTGACAGTTAAAGGGAGAGAAGGCAGAATGGATAGGGAGAACGGGAGCTGTATTGCTGCCCCAGTTTAGCTCCATAACGAGTTCATGGGTGGTCATGAACTGTAGGTACAACTTGCTTTTACAGTCATATGGTGAATAGTCTGCAGACTTTTGCAGCTTCTGTGGAAATGTACAGTTTTGTGTACTTCAGAGATTCCAGTCAAATAATTAATGATGTTGTGTTTGTTAGAAGACTGCCTATGGTGCAAGTTTGCCGAAGCTTGTGCAAATTCAGGATCAGCCTTTGGGGGTATTCTATGCCTATTCTTGTCCCTGGGAAGCCTCTAAAAGTTGTGGAGGACCAGTACTTACATAGCATGGTGGACCCGTTGTAGATTTGAATTTGTTGCCAGGGAAGTTAGCAAAAAAAAAAAAGGTAGCACTTCATTTATTATTAAGCGAATTAAAATGAAAGGAAAACATCTGTGGTACATGTACTTACTGAATGTCCTTCAACAAAATGAGAATCCAAGTGATAACGTAGTTGCTACTTCCAAAATCAGCTGGAAAATTGTAATAATATTTTCATATGGATGTGTAATTTTTCTTTGTGAGAAGTGTTCTTTTTATGTAGTTACACAAATATATAAAAATCCTGATTCTGTTAAAGTTTCCTCCTTGAAACTTCACAGCTGGTATATTTACCTTCTGACTCAGAGTCAGGGATTTTATCAGGCTATAATGTAAAATCTATGGGTACTTTTTCTTAAAACTTGGTTGTAAAAAGTTGTGTGAAGCGCTATGGTTACAGTGTTCTTGCTAAGCTTGACAGCCTTAACTGCACATAAAATGTATGATTTGCAAGTACTAACATTTAACTCTTCGTTCTTTTTATTCTGCACCATCTTTCATTCTTTTCTCAAAATTTATGCATTTTGTATTAATCACCTTTGAATTACATCTTTGCCATTACCATACAATCCTAATGCCATATATTAAATGCTGCTGCCCACTTTTATCCCCACTCTGGTCCTTATTGCCACCATGGTTGGACTGGTTATCACTCCCCTCCAGCAGACCCATCCCTCAGTTTTCCTCCTATCTCCTTCAACACACTTACACAGGCACAAACATGGGACAACTTTAGCTACAGTATCCCATCTGAAGGAGACAGTGACAATGGTAGGTGTTCCATATATAATTTACTTAATTTTGTGTTTTCAGAAACATGAGTATGTGGTGAATGCCCCACGTGGCTAAGGACAATATTCTCCAGGGGATGTTTATAAGACTAAATTCCCCAGAAGATGCACTTTAATTTGCTGTGGAATATGTAGTGTCAAAAGAGTGAAGTTTCAGTCTTTTTTTTTTACTCCGGTGAAACAACTTTGTGGGTTTATTTACTGGCTTTATTTTCAAGAGTTGTAAAAGTTGTACTCAAACAGCAGTTAATTTTGCTCCTCTCTCTTCTGCTGCTTTTATTTATTATTTTTTGAAAGTTACTAACTATTAAAATATCCTGCTTCCATCTGCATTTATTGGTGCAGGTACATAACTACCATAATAGAAGAATCCATAAAGAAACAAAGCTGAAACAATCAGCTAAGCAAAAATAGTGATTTCTGTTCAATAGAAACTGTTGTTAATAACCTGTTCACAGTGAAGGTCAGATACATTAGTGGACTTTTACTGCTGCTTTTGTTTTGGTTTTCTCCAGGGTTTTGTTGTCATAATACACTGAGGCACTGATGCAAAGTGGGTCATGTTTTGCCAGCTGCCCTAAAGTAGAAAGGTGTTTCGATATTAAAAGGTTGCGAAACTGTCAAAAGCATCAGATTGAAACCAAGACCATAAATATTGACTGATAAATGCTAACATTTAGCTTATGGTTAAGGAAACTTTCCTGTCTGACTATTCAGGTGCCACTCTGGAAGTCACACTTGTACCACCCAATACTTCATTACTGAAGCCTCTTCACAAAAGGGCGTTTTGTTCTTAGTTCAGGTCTTCAGTTGAGAATATTTCCTATTTGCCTCAGTGCTCTTGATTATAAAACCATAAAATACAGCATATGTAAGGAATCAGCTGCATAAGGGAAGCGAGTGTGGAATACAAGAAATCTGATCCTGGTAACTTGAAAAAATTGAATTTAGTTCATGGTGGTCTGAAGCTAAGTTAACATTTCACTGATGAATTGTTCAACAGAGAAACCTAGAGTTGCTTCTACTATCAGTGCAGAATTTGATCTGTGTTTACCTGTATTTTTTGTGTTTTAATCTTCTAAATGTTAGCATTTCTCTTGGAGTGTTATAGCAGAAACTGCTTTTACAACTGCATATTTTTTAAATTGGGGTTGTTACATTTCTGTTACTTAAATTTAGACTGAATAAGTCAATCAAAGAGAAAAGTTACTATGAACTTTCAGCCTGACTTCAGCTCTGCTTGTCAGAGTCCAACCTTCTTTTTGTCTGTTGTATTTAGAGTCAGGTTAAATAATTTTGTGGTTTGCCTGAAGGATGACATTATCACACTAAGTACTCAGTACACTGAATTTCTTGATGTACAATTAATAGTGCAGAAATTGATGCACAATTAATAGTGCATTGAAATTCAGTGCAGAATTGAAAATTTTTGCCAGGAAGTTTGTCCTTGACAGTGGTATGTTGAGTAGATTATTAACTATGTTATTAACTATTACTCATCTAACTTGTTGACACTTATGCAGAATCTTTAAAAAAAAAATAAATTTGAACAAGTACTACTTAATAACCTGCCTTGAGTATGGATTTAAAAAGCAGAAACTAATTCTTTGAAAGAGCGAAAAGTAGACATTCAGGTGTGTGTGAGGTATGGGCTCCCCTTGCTGGAGGTTGTGTGTAATGCTGAGAAGCAAGCAACATTTAGGACTGCCAAAACATCCTCTATGGCAACACTTACAAAAAAATTCAGTACATAACTAAAACTTTTATAGTTAATGCTTTAGCGTGTGAAGGTTTTTTAATTTTGTTTTTTTAATCAATTAACTTGTTTTCTTGAAAAGCTTCTAATTGTAGTTTCACACTGCGTAAGATTAGCCTGCCTTTTTCTTGTAGTGGAATTGACAAAGTAATGCTAATACCTTTCAGTAAGGTACGTTTGTAATCTGAAATTGGAAGGAAGTAAATCTTGGAACTTTGACTTCACAGAGGCCTAAAAAAGGATAGCTGTGGCCAAACTGAATAAAGACCATAGTAATACTCTAATTCTATGAAAATTGAACATTATTTGGTACTAGTTTTTACTGATAATTATTTGAAATGTTGCTACTGCTAATAAAACTACAGTGGCTTTTAAATACCATGGTTCTACTCTTCAAGAACGTTTTTTATCTAGGTATTTCATCTGTGAGAGGCAGCAAATCTCAATTATTAGACTTGTACAATGAACCAAAAAATCTTATTAATTGCAGCTGCTATTTTTAATTAACATGATAGGAGATTTTTATTTCACCTCTTAAAAACTTAGAAACAGCCTCCAGTAAGTTATTACAGAGTTGCTAATGCAGAAATTTTAATACAGTACAGTTCCGGAGTTAATAGAAATCCTTGATAAGGATTTCTACTCTTGAAAAACTTGGGGTTAGATTTTTTTGTTGTTGTAGCCATCTTAAATGATATAATTTATAAATAACATTTTATGTATTTTTCACCATATATCAATGTTCTAATAGGTTCTGTGTTTTTGGGCATGAACAGTCATAGTCATATGTCACCTTTCTGCAAAATGTTAGGAAGTATGGATCTGTTCATACACCCTGCTTTGGATTTAGAATTAAATTTCAAATGTTGAGTTTGCCTCCTACAAAGCAGAAGATTAAATATCAGTAAAACTGTGGGCCCTTTGCATCTGAAGGCATGGCTCTGCTACTCTGATGCATTTTGTGGCAGGTCAGCATGAGGAATGTTTTTCTTTATGATGTGTGCACCTCTGTGTAGAGCCTTTTGAGTGGTGACACTGATGAAAATATGTTGTCCACCCAGAGAAGGGATTTGAGCTGCAGTCACTCTCTGTAGTTCTCAGTCCTGCACATTCTCTACAGGATGCTCTCCCACTCTATCTCTGGGATTTCTGGTGACATTACAAAGAAAGTAGTTTGCTAATATAGAACTGTAGTATTAGTTGTTCTATTTAAAAGCAGTTCTGTTTAACAAATAGCATTAATATGGCATTCCAGAAATCACTGATTTTACTGAAATTACAGCAATGCAACAAATTTCAGTTCACTGAGAAAAGTTAAATTCGGACTGTATGAGTCAAGTAGTGGAAGGAAGCAAGTTTGGTAATTGGCTATGGTTTATTCTGTCTTGATGCCTAAGATGAATAGCCTAAAGATATACAAGGAGTTTGTTGCCTTAAGGTGTTTATATTAGCTAGGGGAAAGAACTTTGCCTTTTGGCTGAAGTGCCATAGGTGCTGTCTGTCTGTCCCTTTGGCTAGAGAAGTAACTTAGATCAATCATCTCATTACTTAAACAGTCTGAATACAGGTGAACCTGCAAACAGTTGTGTGAGATTCCTCATGACTACACTTGTATGAGGTGGCAAACAGAGTCACAAACAGGGACAGTTGCATTTTGGCTGTACATCATCTTTTCTTCCAACCCATTCAAAGCAGTCACTGCTCGCAGAAATGGAAGGGTAGAGGTGCACATTTGCAGAAATGTCATGTAATAATTTCAAGGAACTGTATTTTGGGCAAAATGATAGAGTTGACAGGACTGGTAGGAAGGACAACCTCCAAGGGCATGTACTATGCTACATTTGCAACATGACTTTTTAGTGTAGGCACTTACTGAATGGCTGAGTCTTCCTACATTTGTCTTTCTGTGGTGGGTTTGTTTTTGTTTTTCATTTTTTTAGCATAACCTTGTCTAGTAAGCATTTTGTTCTGTGTAGGAGGCTTCACGGCTTTTTACGCAATTCAGTATCTTGTTAGGAGAGAGGTCTACTTAAGAGTAAGAGGTTTCTCCTGCTATGTTAAATACAAAGTGTTGTACAGATCACACTCTCTAAGGGACACTGCTGGTGCTTAATCATCTGACAAAACTTGCCCGTTCAGATTAGGATTTGGATGATAAATTATCTGCACCATTGCTGCCCCTGTTCAGGGGCACTGTTCAGAGCAATATCCAAAAAGCAGCCATTCCTAACTGTAATCCAAGATCAGATTTTTCTGTCCTCCTGAGGACAAAAAAATTTTCTAACTGTTTTTGCTGGAGGCACTGCCTAAGGATTTTGCTTAATTTAGAAATAAATAAATCAGAGTGTTTGTTCTTAAACTAAAATCTCTCTTTTTAACAATCACAGTGTTCTTAAGACCACAAAGAAATTTGGAATCAATAGATCCACAGTTCACAATTCGAAGGAAAATGGAGCAGATGAGAGAAGAGAGAGAGCTTGTGGAACAGCTACGTGAGGTATGTGAGTGTTGGTAGAATTAATTTATGCTGATGGAATGTCTTTTTTAGTTTTTCTTTGGGAAAGTTGCCTAAGAAGAAAAATAGAAGAAAGGTTAAATGAGGCAATATTACTTCTGCAAATCACATTGATGAGACTATTGCTGAAGTTCTTCATCACAATCAGATGTCTGTATTTCAGGAAAGACTTTGTGAAAATGAGAAATAATAATGGGAGCTACTTGAATGACATCCAGTTAATCAACATGCCTTGCACTGATGGAATTAACTATTTGTTTAATTTAATCAGAAAGGATGAAGTGAGCACTTGAGAGACAGAGAGAGAGGTCTAGGAACTATTTCCAAGCAGCTGGAGAAATCTTCAGTTTTGCATCTAAAAGGCACAGTGAAATTTATTAGTTCAAGCTGAAAGTAGATAACTAATGCTTGAAGCAGCTTTCTTAGAAATTAAATCAGCATTTCATCAGTGGAAAATCTGATACAGAAGGTGGTTTCCTGATATATTGTCTTGAATGTAAGAGCTAGAACCTGATGGAAAAATTGGTGCATAGGATTTGTGTTACACAACTAATACCTGCGTAGCAATGTTTGTGTGACACCTGGTTGTGTTGACAAAAAAGAGATGACAGCCTTTGCTGTGAGGAATGTCACAAGCCTGAACCTGTCAAGGTTTCCAGGTACATCTCATTAACAGGACAGAGGGACAGATGTTAACATAACTGCAAATCCTGAACATGGTAGGTGGTTTTCGCTTCTCATCTGAATTACAAGATTATTTGTTCTTGCCTCATTAGCTTCATGGAATGGCTAATTGAATAATTATCAGTTTGTTTTAAATAACATCTTCTATTATTTAATTTTAAAGCAACAGTGTTCTTCTCTTTACCAAAAAGTGTTTAAAAGGTGGGATTTTTAATGTAGAACTATGCAGACTTCTAGATTTGCATTGTCTTACCTCAGGCACTCACCTGTTCTAAGTATGAATTAACCTAACTTTGCCCTGCTGATTTTTCTTTTTTTTTTAGTGGAACAGGTCTTGTTAAAGATTTGGCATAGTTGATAGAATGTAGTGTAGTATCAATTTTAAACCTGAATGATGCCAAAAGGACAAGATGCAGGAATTAGATGAGACAGACATATTGGCAGTGGGGAAGAAAATGCGGTAATGGGGAAGTAGCAGTAACAAACTGCAGTAGTTGGTAGTTTCTGAGCCTAGTCTGTTCAGCAGCACCAGCGCAGCTTTTTAACATTTCTTTGAATGAGTTAAAGAAGGGTTACCACAAGTGTATAGCAAGCCCCCAAATTCCTAAAAATGATCACAGATAATTTCCACAAGATTCTTGCCTTGTGCATTAGTTCAATTAATCCTCATAATGAAAAGTAGAACAAGGTTATTCACTGTGTCAGGTGTGATTGTGGAGAAGTAATAAGGATGTCTCTACACAGTATTGGGTCTTACCAGTAATGCTGCTTTAATGTGTTACATTTTAGCTCCACTCACTGTCCTTCTTCACTCTCACCCTGAAATATCATGTCCTGGAATGCAAATTATTTTGTTTCTTGTGAGCAGTTTGATTACAAGTCAATCAGCTAGAAGACTGACTGTGTTTGAAAACACAAAGTGAGATTTTCAAATTAATAAAACTTATTTAGATATACTGAGTCCTTTAGTGACATTAGTTACCACCAGAGCATTTGATTATGTATTGCACAAGAAAATAGCCCAGAACATATAAATTATTAAGTTTGTACTTTATTCAATAAATACATATATTAGTAAATTTTGCTTTTGAATTGTTTAGTAGTAAGTTAGCATGTAGTGAGATTCCACAGAGCCATGAACTCTAGCATGAAATGGCCTTGAGTTAGTATTGTAGATGCACTGTGCTCCTATAAAAAGCATACCCTGGTCTATGCTGAGTAGTCTTCCAGCAGACAAATTAGTGTTCTAACAAATACATTTTTATTTCATTAACTTTATATAATCTTTTTGTAACAGGTTTTGGAAAAACAAAATGTATTCTTTTATGTACTTATTTACTAAAATTTTCTGATTTGTGAATTAAACCAAGGTGAAAATGAAACATTGTATTAGTGAACATGATGCACTCACTTGTTTGCACTTGTGAAGCCTGCATGCAAGTACTTGAGTAGTGTGTCTAGCAAAAGAAAAAAATGGGAAAATATAATGAAACCCCAGAGTGCTTCAGTGGAGGCTATTTCATGGTGAGGCTACCCAAATAAAGGATGTATGAGGAAGAAGTGAAGAGCTAGATTTCTTTAGATTAGATTTCTTGCTTTAGAGTGCTGAGAATATCATGTGACCATCTTCAGCTGCCTGAAGGATAGTAAAAGAGAAGGTGTAAAGCCAGGCTTTTCAAAGATTTACAGTGAACCCATGAAAAACAGTGGCATAAATTGCAGAGAAAGATGTTTCAAATAGTTATAAGGAGAAAATTCTTTGCCATAAGGGCAATGAAACACTGAATAAAGTTGCTTGGAGATTTTGAGGGCTCTCTGTCCTTGCAGATATCTAAAACTTAACTAACCAGGGCTTGGGTGTCACTTCAAATTTGTTAGACTGTGACCTCCAAAAATCTCTTCCAACCTACTTCCTTTATTCTAAAAAGAATTATCTATTCATAGATTTTCATATTCAACCAATATAGGTTGAGGTAAGATATTAATAGAGAGTAATGACATTTAGAGGTTCAACTAAGCAATATCTGTTTAAAGATATTGGGGAGTAATTATCTCTAAGTGTAGAGTTGGAATGTTTTCAAGATTGGTGCACAGTTCAGGAAACTCATCGTACATAACAATCTATTTGGTTTGGGGTTTTTTTAATACTTAAGTATTTTCAAAAGTATTTTATTTTGCAATATCAAATTCTGTTTGTTGAGACTTCTGTTTTTCTTAATGTCTATCCAGAATTTCTCTTTTACATCTGAATGTTTTGCCTTCTCTTACCTATTTTTCTGATTACTCTAAAGCTTCCTGAGTAATTTTTAGGATACTAGGGAAAGATTGCCTTTTGTTCTTTGCTTGTTCAGTCATTAACACAATGTAGTTCTGTTTCAATTTTCAGCTGATAAAGAAAATTTAAGATGGATAAGTAGAAGACTTGGGGGAATGGTAAAAGGAAGGAGTCACATACAGTTCAGTCACATGACTAATTGCATGAAGATGTGTTTTTATACCTCTCTGTATAAAAATAGTTGCATATTGTGCCAGCAGCATTGCAGTGTTGAGTTCATTTAAGGAAGTTTATGTAGCTGAATGACCGGCATAAAGGAGGTTGTGGTTTAGTTTCTAAAGAATTAGTTATATAAAGGAATTGTGGTTTTTTAGTAATAAAAACTCCAAATCTGGCTATGTGCTTACAGCATGGGAGATGAGGGTATTTATTCCCTTTTTGTCCCATTCATGCATTTCTGTGTCAAAGTGTGCCTGCATTGTTCCTTTGCAGAACATAGAAACGAGACTGAAGATCTGTTTGCCCGAAGACCTGGGCTCGGCTCTGATGGATGGTGTCGTTCTGTGCCATTTAGTCAATCACGTGCGCCCTCGGTCTGTCGGGAGCATTCATGTACCCTCACCAGCAGTAGTAAGTTGCATGTTTCTTGCTACACGGAAATGTTTTACTGATTACTGTTTCATTCCCAAATGATATTTGGGTACATAAACCATGTTACTGTTCAATGAAAGATCTTTGCTGTTAAGGGCTACATTTGTATGATAGCAAATGCAAATGTTCATTACCTTTAATATATGATACATTTTTATGTATTGTCTGGATATATGTGTGCATATATACAAGGACATTTATAAATGAACAAAATTATCCTGCCTTGTCCCTGATCTAGCAACAAGATCAGGTATTTTCATAATGGCATTTCTGTTCAGAACAGTATGAAATGCTTTGATTACAAGTTTTCATTCTAGTACACCCTTAAAAAAGAAAACTAGCCTGTCCTCTGTTGATTGAAAAAAAGTAAGGTTGGCTTCAGCGGTGTATGGCTTAGCAGATGTCATGCTACTAAATCGCTTAAAACAGTTATTAGTATATTTGTCCTGTTGGGTTATTGTAGAGGTGATTCCTTTTACCTGCAGACAGAACAGAAACCTGCACTGTTGTGATTTAATATTGGCTTACCTAAATCTAAGGACCTGAAGATTACAGGACATAAACTGTGTGCACTTACTAAAACTTAAAAAAACACTATTGTGTTTTCTCTGATTATTTCTTTTATAGATAATTGTTCCAGGTTTCTGGTAACAGTCTGGTTCTGAAGAGGTTTTGTGTGTTTTCAGACTATTTGCCTTTTTTCTCTTTAATGTACATTTTGGTAACAGTTTGCCATGTACACTCTGATACTTGATTCTGAGAATACCGTGGTGGATTTTGGAGGCAATCTGTAAGAACTTTCAAGAAGACAGATTTAAGAAAAAGATACTTTTTTCAGATACTCCATTGGAATTTCTTTTGCTCTTCCTTGACTTAAAATAATTTCTGTCTTTGGTAAAAATATGACATTGCCAAAATATACAAACTTGAAATTCTTCAAATTTCAAGGGAAAAAAACTTCTCATGCTGATTTTTAAAAATAAATATCTCCTGGTGTTTTCTGTAACAAAATGCACATATTTTAATTTTTTTTTTAATTTATTTCAACTTTATATTGATTTTCTCTTCCTTGAAACAGCCTTCAAATTAGTTTAGCCTGGCAAATTAGTTCTTTGAATTCCTTGCTACTACAGTGAATTCTTGGTTTAAGTGAATATTCAGGAATTACAGTTATTTCACATCTGATATTGAGAAACTAAAATAGTGAGGAGTTCGGGTTTTGGTTTTTCTTTTTAGTAACATGATACTTCTGTAAGTATTTGGTGAATAGTCCTGAGTTTAGACAAATTGTAGAAATGTTTGAGATTCTAAAGAAATAGGACATTGATTCTTCACAGAAGTTAATATTGCGTATAGCTAGTATAAATTTGTGAGTACATAAACTATTTAAAAGGTGTGAGCCTCTTAATTACAGTTAAGTCTGTTCTTCATGACTTCTTTTGCCATAAATGATTTTTTTTTTCTGTTCTACAGCCTAAACTTAGCATGGCCAAATGCAGGAGAAACGTGGAAAACTTTTTGGATGCATGTAGAAAACTGGGAATACCAGAGGTAATTTAATTAAGTCCATAATTTCTAGATGTTCAAAAGTGAAAATACATTAATTACATGAAGGCTGAAGGATAATTTTATGAACTACAGGTTTTTAGCAATAAAGACACAGAATTTAAAAACTGAGCTAAATAATGTGATTTATTACTACTTTAGTGAATTTAAATGGCTTATTTCATAGTACTTAAAAATTGCAGGTGTTGTCTCAAAAGAGTAATTCGCTATTATCTCTAATTATCTCTTTTTTTGCTATGGAAAATAAATAAGGAATTATGATAATGTATTCTATAAGTTGCCAAAAGCTTGGTAATTTTTTTCATTGCACAACATAACTGCATTTTTACCTTATGCCTTTAGAATATGAACTTCATCCTTTTTAATTTTATCTTTTTTGCAACATTTTCATTTTTTACAATGTTAATTTTTACAATGTGTACAATGTTTTTACAATGTTACAATTTTTTACTCTATGCATTGGTGACTAATAACAGCCTCATCTCTTGTATTGAAATATTTCTGCATTGATTTGAAGAAAAGCATTGTATGTTAAGTATGGAAAGCACGTATGTGTAAGATTCTATCATGTAGTTATAAGTAGTTGGAAACAGGGAAATTGCAGTGCTTGGTGTTTACTGATTTTCATTTAAGAATGGTATCACTCATCATGTAATTTATTCTCATCTTCATAACTAATGTAATGAATACTGCAGTTGCATTGGGATTATTTCAAAGACTCCCTTATGGTTTATAAGAACCTATTAAGGAAAGGTTAAATTTCAAATATGTGACCCTCAAAAGAAGGTAAAGTGTTACATAAGGTCTTTTAAACTGAACACGGGAGAATTGCATTATGTATTTTCACATTGGTGCCTACATATGACAGTATAATGAAGGCTGAGTTCTTTTTCATCTGTTTCAAGAATGCTGAAATGTAAAGATATTTTGTGTGATTTCCATCACCATCCCCTTGGAGAGCAGATGGTAATGCAAGATTTCATATTGGGAAAGAATTCTAGTTTCAATTCTTTGTTTTATCTATATTTTAGCACTTGATTTGGAGGATAGCAAAAGTGACAAATCATTTTTGCTATTTGTAGGAATTTTGAGGGGGAGACTTTCTTACAGTTCCAGTGAATGGTTCATCAGAAATTTAATTTGACAATTCAGTGTAATGGCTGGGTCTCTGAAGCTGTAATGGTTCATTTAGTTCTTGTAGTTATGTAATTTATTATGTTAGAATGATTTAATATTAAAGGTAAAATTTCACTTCCAAGAAGATGAAAATTTCATTGTTGTGGACTTCTAGACATGGACAATTTGTTAAGCCACGTCATAATTTTTCTGATGCATCATAAATTATTAGTGAATAGAATACAGGTCAGATTTTCCTGGCTGTAGCCTTTTGGGAAAGAAAAGGCTAAGATCTGTTTTCACTGATATTGTGAGATCTTTCAGAAATCTTTCATTCTTTTTGATTTTGGATTTCTATAAGTAAGCCCTCTGGAGAAATATTTTTTTTGTACATTTATTACCCCTCCTTTTTAATCCTTTCATCAAAATTGCTGTTGAACTCTTTAGGATTTAAAAAAAAATTATTAAAGTTTATTTGCTGAAGAGTTGCATGGAGGCTTGGGCACAAAGCCGCATCTTATGAGTCTGATTGGTAAACTAACCATCTTTGTGTATCTAAATAAGCATTAGCTTCTTTTGAGGGGAAAACTCATGTACTTAAACATTAAATGAATTGCTTGCAATTCTAAACTTACAGTAGCTTTTAAGAACTCTGAGCATATTTTGTTTGATTAGCCATTGGTAATTTGCAAATGTATATTTGCAAAATTTGCTATATTTTGTGAAAACACATCACATTGTGGAACTAGCTGGTAGATGCTAGAACTTTGCTGTGTGTTGCAGGGACGTGGATTAAGAATGCAAAGTTGTGTAATAGTGAGTGTGACAGTCAGCTGTCAAAGTTTTTAAGGAACTACAGATGGCGTGCTCATGCTGCTTCAGATTGATGAGCTGTGCAGTGCCTAACTATCTCTGGAGAAACCAGGAAAAGCAGTGCAGTGAATGGCTTCTTTTTTAAAACAAGCACCTTATGTGGCAAAGTGATGGGTTCTACTTTTGGGTCCTTACATACCTGTAGGTATTGGGCTTTTCTGTGGTACTTGAGCCTATGTCTAGTTCTTGAGAATTGACTTGAAATTCTGCTGCATGGGTTTGGAAAGGATTTTAAATGGTCTTAATTTGTGTTGGTTTGTTTTCAGTTATTTAAGGAATAGAGTACATGCTGTTTCTTGAACTCCACAGGTTTGGAAAAATTTCCTGTTTAGTCATGTAAAATGAAAATAAGAAAATAGCTAAGTAATTGCTCTGTTGTGCTGATGTGCATGGTCTCTTCCTTCTGTGGTTTTCAGCATTCAATTTTTGGATCAAAATTACTTTCCCAGAATGATCCTGGGAAATTTCATACAAATGTAGAACAATGCAGCTGCTATCTAAATGTGTCACACTGAGTGTCAGGAGTTGGCATCTTAACCAACGAATTGAAAAGCCAAAATTGAGGAACATCAGTGTCTCTTTATAATGACTGGTATGTAGAAGACTCTGAAAGCAATTATCTGCCAGGTGAGAATTACAATACTGTGGGGAACACATTGAAATCGATTTCTGTTAACAGCCACATGATGCTTCTGGTTGTGTGCCGAAGGAATGTGCTGGATCACAGGCCAAAAGGGAGGTTTGAGGTCTGACCCTTAATAAGAAACTAAAGAGCAATGCTCTGGCTGCAGCAGGAGGCTATCAAAAGTGTGAGAATTGCAGAACAATCAAGTTGTGTCCAGTTTTGCCACTAGGCTTTGCTGTAGCACCTTATCAGTGAACCTCTTAAACCACTTTTTGAGACAAAACAAGTTTTCTGTTTGATGTGAGAAAGGGATGTTGGCAGGTAAGTATCTGAAAGCATGAAGATTCAGAAAATGTCTGCTGTGCCCCTCAGGAGTTGTATAAGGAAAAGGTTCAATCTTTGTCTCTTAGAAAATTGCTAAAGAATACTTTATTTTACATTGTTAACTAAAACCCATCACATTACCTAATTTACCTCAGCAGGGCTGAGGTCCTGCTGCATTTTTCAGTGACATACAGTACTTGGATTGTGCCATTCACTGGATTTGCATTGTTAATGTCACATGAACCCACCAGTAATACCACCCTAACTGCTTACTCAGTTCATCCATGTTGCACCCACCCTCTCATACTTTGTGGGTTTGAAAAATAAACCTGGATTTTTTACTTCTCTTTTGCGTGGAAGTGTGGCCCCCCAAAGAGTCAAATGTAATGGTTCTATTGCTGTTTTTCTCTTTCTAGTGACATCTCATGCCAGAGATATTAAAAATTGTCAGAAGAGTGAATTATCATCACATTACCTTGTATGTGAAGTTATGGAAGTATTTTATTTACAACTGCTCTTTCAGAAACCAGTAACAATATATGTAAATAAAGACAAAAATATTCATGCAGATTTCTTCAACTTGTCATTGGCAAATCAGCATTCATACTGGGAGCAAGGATGTAGACTTTCCTATTTCAACCTGAAAATTAATAAGTTAATTAAACTTGAGTTTTTATTCTTGGTAGGTGTTACTCCTGTAATCCATATTACAGGGTATTATGCAATTTCAGTAGTGTTAACCAGTACTACTCCTTTCAAAAGTTAAAAATACTTGATTTGTGGTGGGTTGAATGATACTTTACTATAAGTAAGATTTAGACCAAAACAAAGCTGTACATGCAATATGTTTGAAAGACAAAAGTTACAAGTTTTGGTCTGCATTTTTTCTGGTTCTCAGTTATGAACAAATAAGGGTACCAGAAATAGGATCTTCTAGGCATTTTTTGAAAAAGAAAATTAAATCTTTTCAATGTCTGTGAAATTAGCTTTATACAAAGACACGAATTAATTTTTATGGTATTCAGCTTACACTAATGTAATCTCTTAACAGTTTAGGCACTTGAGTGTATTTTGACCCTTTATGGGGTCAGATCAGAGAAATACAATTTATCTTTTTGAAAAGAAAAAGAAAGACTTTCCCCACGTAACATACTGTATTGATTGTCATAAAGTTTAAAAAAAGGGTAGACTGAAGTTATCGTGATTACTACTAGAATGGTAATTTCTATTTGTAAATGGTAGTGATAAAATGAAATCTTTCACAGCCAAACATTCCAGTGTCTGTGTTCCAGCACGTCAGCAATGATGCAGCATGATTTAGTGTGACAAATAATACCTTGGGTAGGAATGGGACACTTCAGCCATATCGCTTAAATGTTCAGTCATTTACATTGTGTAAACATATTGAGCAAAAAAGAGGATGATGATAAGGAATGGCTTTTTGGATCTCATATCATCGTACAAAGATGCAGACTATGAAAGGTTTATTTGTGCCCCTTCTGAGTGACTTTAGAGTCCTGCAAATGTGACCTAATACTGCGTGTCAGCCTCTACTCTGATAATGAGATCTACTATGTGGCAATGTCAGACAGGATTATTCTAAAAATCAGTGTGACTTGAGTTCATGTAGGAATTGCAAATTAAGTAAAACAATAATAGAGAAAACAAAACAGGAGACTTTTGTATTCTAAAAGTAGCAAAACAAAGTAAAGGAGGCAGCCAGGCAGTGACTGTAAAGTGTTTTACCTTCTATCCACCTGTTAGTTCAACTGGTAGTCATGCTAGTCATGCTTTTCAGTTTAATGCAAGGTATATTATCATTGCCACTTATGCTTGTTTTCTAATCACTTCACATAATCAGTTACTTCTCCATAGTTTCATCATGAGATACCCATGAAGTTGCAGTGAGTTTTATCAGGTATGACTCATTTCTCCACCTTGTCCCTCCGGACTCAGTAATGGATACTGTTTGGTCTACGGTATGGAGTTAAGTGGTTCAATACACTCTCAATTACAGCCCTGAAAGCAGAGTTCTGAGGTTACTTTCATTTATGTTTTGGGTATAGTGCATATGTGCTATAGATTTCTTTCTTTAATGCACTTCTGCAAACTTTTGACTTTTTTTACCAGAGTGTACGTCCGAGGAGGTCAGTTCTGAAATGCTCTCTGTTTTCAGTCACTGCAGGGGCATGCAGAATGAGGGTGGTTTGTGCACACAAACAGCTGGTTATACTTTTGCTGTCACATTTCTGTCTTACTGTGTTTATTATGTGTGCATGATTGACAGCTCTATGATTTAATCATACAGCTTCATAGACGTAACATGTCAGTCCATAAAAGTAATTATTAAATAGGTGTATCTTTGTCATTCTTACTAGCAATAATTTCAGTTCCCTAAATGAGAGGGGCAGTGTTTGTCATAGATGGGTTGATGGGTGATAACTTTTATGGAGGTCATGTGCTTTTTCACTATTTCATGATGTTATGTTTTAGTTTTGTATTTTTATTGCACAATATCAGTGCAATAAGTGGAAATACTTCTGCTGTTTTAGAAAAGATTTATATTTTTCATCTACAGTTACATTACAGAAATCTAAAATACATCAAATATAAATATTTTACATTATATGGTGTGAATATAATACTAAGTTATCCATCATCACAGAACACACAAAAGTGGATTTTCCCAAGGCTTTCCCAAGCTTCACTGAATTTAACTAAAACACATCATGGCAGTTTCTGTAGAAAGTTCTTTTTGCATGTGTTGGCTGTTTTTGTATGCTTTGGCTTCTCCTTATGCTGCTTAGGATGTTAATCTTGGATTAGCAACTTTATCAGTATCTGTAAAAAGTCAACCTATTACCAGCTCTCAGTCTCTAAAGTCTGAAATTACTCCCTTCTCCATTTGACTGCAATAGGGACTGTTGGCATTGTTTTTAGGGTTTTTTGGACAAAAAAATTTTAAAAGTCCTTGTTATAAAGGTCTGGCATTTTATTTTTAAAGTATAAATTGAATGTATCTTAGATATTTACTTTTGGTATGTATTTGCAGTAACTAGGAATTGAGTCTTGGATGTTGTTCCAAAATGAATTCACCATTTACTGAGTTTATTGGCTTCTTTGGTATAAATTCATTATATTATGTAGTTGGTAGTCATGAATAGTTTGCACTAAAACTTGTTTCTGTGGTAAGCAGCTTGTGGATGTAGGTGTTCTCAAATAGAGTACTAAATCTATCCCATTTTTAAACAAGATCAGCATGTTTTGTGCTGTCTGTGAGTTTTCATACTCTTAAAAAATAACAGAATTGCACTGAAGTTTATTATCACATTAGAGTTTTGAGTTAAAAAATTCTGGAAAAGGACTGCAGAAAAGTGCTCTTGCTAGGCAGGTTGGTTCCCTGCTCTGTATCTGCTGGCCTAAGTAAGAAAATTTTGCAGCTTTTGACTGCTGGTAAAGCTAGAACCACTCATGGTAAGCATAAGTAAAACAAAAAAGTGTCACTATTTAATTTGTGTATGAATGACAGTTTTGACTTCCAGTTTCACTAGCCACTTTTCAGGGTAGAAAGACATTTAAAATATTTTAAAGTTTAATTTATTTAAAACTGGAGCTTGAAACTGCACTAACAGAAAACAGACATTGAACTTCCATGTCTTGGTTTATTTGGTGTACTCTCAGTTTATTAAGTAAGTGAGACTGAAAAGCTTCCACAGGAGCAGTGTTGTCTCAAACTCTTACTGCATATAATTTTGTTCAGTAAGTATTCATTATCTCAGTAAGGCCTTATTTACAATGTAAAATGGTGTATCTTAGATTGCATTTTGCAAGTACTAGTGTTGCTTGGTTTGATTTAAATGTTAAATATTGTGTGAATATATTACTACTATTACATATTGCACTTCATATTGTATAGCTAGTCCAGAGTAAGTTGCCACATCAAGTCATTGATACTTTTCAAAAAAGGTATGGGGATCTAACCTGCTAATAATTTAAAAAATGCTACATAAGAAATTTAGTGTCCAATGCTTCAGTTTAGAAACTTTATTAAAATTAAGTATAGTTAGTGCTACAATGCCTTTTTGAGTTTCTGTTCCTGGGTACCATTTGAGGTGATATTTGAATACCAAGTTTTAGATTACTATATTAGAGAATTTTGCATACTTCTAATGATTTCTGTAAGTACTTTTTCTTTGTACTTCATATTGCTGCTTCTTGTGCTTTTAACAGCTTTCTAACCCACTGTTTGCTATTTTAAAGTTAGTTGTTTCAGTTGGTTCCATTTAAGCATTTGAATAAGGCCCAGATGGACAAAGGTGTGCAGACCTCATTGAAACGAGCGGATCACACGCACTTCCTCACCCTTGTGAACTTGGGCACAATTTTGGAAGGATTAGAAGGCTTGAGCTCTTCTGTCTTAACATTCTGATGTTATATGATAGCTTCAGTATTTAGAGGAAATAAAAGAAAGCTGGGATGTCTAGTGACTAAGGCAATACTAGGAAGAAACTATTCCTACATGTTTATGCTAGAATATTGTGATAATTTATTTATCAAATCTTTCTATTTTTGTATTTTTAATTTTTTGCACTCTTTTTCTGTTCTAATGGCTGCCCTTCGGGATAGGCTGACCTCTGCTCTCCGTATGACATCCTGCAGTCGGATATTCGTCACATTCGAAAGACTGTTGACACTCTGCTCGCCCTCGGGGAGAAACCCCCACAATCAACTTCTACTTTTCGCTCCTGGGATCTAATAGGCTTTTGTCTTTTCCATATACTTTTTATAGTCTTGATGTATATAACTTATCACTGGAATTTGCTAACAGCATAACCTGTTCGCATGTGCGCACAAACTTTCTGCTTTGTCTCTGAAAAATTACAGGTACTTAATTTCCTTCCTTTGCCTTTCAAACTTCTCCCTTTCCCTTGCTTCCCTTCCTTGTAATATCTTTATTAATCTCTTGAACTAGAAGAAAGGAGTAGCATCTTGAAGGCAAGTCCTATGTCTTCTCTCCCCTCTAGCTGTAGTTTAAGAACTTATGTATCTCTTTATTTATAGCTTTTCTTTCATGTTGCCTAGACTACTCACTAAATGTGTTAAAGCAGTGAAGCTCCTCTTATTCCATATTTGCGTGTAGGCTAGATGTGTATCACATGCTAAATAGAGCTGAGCCTCTTACTTTTTGTGAAAATCCAAGAATGCTGCAGATACTGAAGCAGCTTCAGGTGGCACTTCCAGCAGGTGATAGTATTTTCCGAGTGGGTGCCAATTATCTCTGCACATACTGTGTTAACAGCACTTAGAGAACTATCTTTCAAATTACTGTGGTTTTTTTTTTAAAGTCTTATATATTAACAAGAGTACTGTAACTTGAAAGATTATGTTCTGATTAAATTCCATACTGGAGTAGTTAGATTTTCCTATGGTAGAATAATCTTTTTCTTCTGTAACACAAACCAGTGTTGGACTCCTTTTAAACACTTGCTACATTAGACCCCAAAGGTGACTGTAAATTACAGTGGGTATGAGCAAGCAGTAGAATCCAAGGGACTTTAGAATGTTTCAGGATGAAGGCCATGCAGTACAGTGACACAGTTTGGGAATAAGCTATTAGATTCCTTAATCTGCCATTCTTTAGTGTGGCATCAAGCAAGTCCCATCATGATCTTCTCTGTTTCATCACCTGTGCAAATGCAGATACTGTTTGTTCGTTTGTTTGTTTGTGTAACCAATGGAGCAAAGACATTGTAGCTAGGAAAACAGATCCTCTGGGAAGACTTTAGCTTTTCCATCCTAGGAAGTTTTAAAGAGCAGTTTAGACATACATTAGGCAGCAACTATTTTGGTATGTTTGAATTCTGCCTCTGGTTAGACTGCTGGACAGATGACTTCCATTTCCCTTCCAGTTCTGGGTTCTGTTCATCTACTCTAAACTTAAAATAAGAGAATTTTTGGGTTTTCTCCTTACTAACATGAAAGATACAAAAGAAAATTGATTGAAAAATACAAACCCTCGAGTGTAAACCTGTATCAACATTGCAATATTGGCCTAGATGCTGCTGCCTAAATTTGTAACTCAGGCTAGCTAACCAAAGGACCTCAGTTTTGTGTCTTGGAAATACGTGCATTCATTTCCACCCATCTAGTATATAATAAAATAAGGTGTCGACTTCTAGAGTATAACTAGGATAAAAGTTTGTATGTTACTAATTATTCTGGCCATACAGTTATTATTTAATGCTGCTCTATAAATATCTCCACTCCACAGATACTTGTAAAATTTTATTTAAAAACTTTTAAATGCAGCTCTATTCCTGGTTTCTGTGGCTTAAATACATAGATATAGATATATATATAGACAGATATTCATAAAAAGTAGTGTGTTATTAGATACATATTTTACAATGGAAAAATTAATTTCTGATGAGGGATAAATAAAAATCTTTAAAGGGTTTGGTGTCTGGCACCTCTCAGTGCATACATACAACAGCTTCATTGTAAAGAGTGTCATCTGTGACAAAGCAAGAGTTCAGTGAGTACATCTAAGCTTTTTATTTGGTGTGTAACTGTAGACTTGTGCCCTCATCCTGCACAGGCCTGTCCTCTGTGTGCCTAATTTTAGCAATTCCAACACCAGGCACTTGTTTATTCAATCACAGCTTGACATTTAAGCTTCCACTTTGAGCAGATCTTTGTTTTGATTTTTTTGTTGTCTTGTTCTAAGTATTTTGCTTTTCTGATGAAACTGAGTGATATATGGCTTGAATCAGTTCAGAATCTACTAATATGTTTGTTTATAATCCAGTGTTGGCATTTGAGACAGAAGTAATGTCTTCTATAGGATTGGGATTTTGCTATTGCTCCCGTAAATGGTAAACAGGTCTCCTGTCAATAGTTTGTGTTGTGCCCTCCTTATATAGTGCTGAACTGCAATGTATGAGTACATCTTTTCAAATTAGAAAATCGTGTGGAGAAAGATTGTGCTACCATCCTATAATACTCATCTGTGTCTTTGTCTAATAGCACATCTGGTTATCCACTGTATCCAATAGCCTGGAGGGTGGTAAGAGGAGTAATCAGTGTGTTTTGCATTTTCAGTGTGCAGAAATGGAAGTTCATGTCTCCAGTGGTTTTGAATGCTTTGTCAGAGTAGACATGAACTGCTGTTGTGCCAGTGTAGACCAAGTGAACATCCCCCAGTCACAGTGACACTTAACTCTCAAATTTGACCGCAGTCCTAACTTTGTATATGCTTACCTTGCAAACAGACTCATCACTCAGGGACCATTTTCTGTGTGTTCTCAGCTGTGACAATATCTGGTATTTAAAGTGTAGCATTATCTTTCTGGTAGTTAGAGATGTGAAGCCATCTTGAAACAAATGGTGAAAAACACCAAACATACCTGGTTCATGACGAGCACAGCTGTGCTGCCATGCATGAAACTTAGCCAGTTTGGTATTTTTTGGGGGTTGTTATTGATTACACTTTCAAATATCTATAAATTTTACAGGGAAAGAAGTAGTAAAATTACCCTTACCTTTTCTAAGTCTGAATATAAAAAAGTTTCTCAAAATCTATTTCAAACGTAATGCAAATATGAAAAATATCTGTCTTTCCATCTCTGAAGTCAGTAATTATTACACTAAATGGAGAACTGGAAACTAAAACATCATTAATCTACGCTAATGGGTTCTTTGCTAAATTCAGAGTCCCACTTCTGTGCTGCTGTTCTGTGGCTTTAGTACTTGTTAACCAAACAGTTCAACTCTTTGATGGTTCCTCACCTTTGAGGAGATGTCAATATTGAGCTGTCCAGTTAGATATAATTGGTACTTGCTTCTCATAGCCAGTCACATAATTAAGTTGATCGCCTTGAGTTTTTTAAAAAAAGTGCACCGTAGTTCACCCCATATTCATTAATAACATTAATTATTAATTAATAACATTAATTATATTTGCTCCTCTGTTTCTTTCCCCATTCATTTTTTTTGCATTGCAGTGATCGTCAGAGATTTTCAAACATGATATCCTAATAAATGGGTTTCCAATCTGTACTGTGCCCATCGTACTCTCATGTCCTGTGGAGGTCATCTCACTCATACTGCAATAAAATAATAAATACAGCTTGTAGTGGATATTCTTGCAGGCAAAAGGTGTTTGCACTGGATCACAAGTGGCATTTTGAATTCAGGATTTGGCTTTCTTTTTCCTTGATACAAAAAAAAATATTTTCAAGTGCAGTGTAATGCAGTGTAGTAGTACTTCAAATGCCTTTTGTATAGTAACAAGTTTTTATAGCTAAAAGCTGTATATAGATCCCATTGTGCTCTTAATAAGTGTTCTGAAAGTTGAACATTATGTGAATGAGGACTGAATTAGATGTGAGCAAATATTCAATAGGGTTTTCTACTCAGTATACATTAATAAGTTGCCAAAGAATTGCCATGTCCTTGTTTTTCACAAAAATTTTTCTGCTGTTACCAAAAAAAACAAACAAAACCAACAAAAATCCCAGTCATACATGCAAGTTAGGAAAAAAATATGGTACAGCTGGTTTTGGGAACCTTTGCCATTTCCTTAATTTCTAGAACAACAAACTGTATTATGCAGAAAGAGCAGTAGAAAAACACTGTAAGGTAATGACGTATTCTGTTTTGATGATACAAACCCTCATCACTTTCTCAGAATTTAATATGTAACTTTATGGTATAATTGGTATTTCCCTTGTAAGACTGTGTTTTCTCTTACTGTTTCATGTGTGTCTTGTCTTTACTAAGATTTTTGTTCCTTGAAGTTTCAGGTCACAGTTTTCTAAGCTTGTTAGAATAAAACTATGAGGGATTTTATAAAATATATGCTCTATTTTTAAACTTTATGGTTCAATGTCATAATTTATTGAAGAATCCAAAGCCCATCATTGGATTGGGCTACATAGGCAATTACAGTTTTGCAAATATTTCCAATTTATTGAATGTGCAGACGATGCACCTATCTAGGTGTCTAACTGGCTGTGACTGCAAATACATGATTTTGCAGCTGCAGTATAGCCTGAATTACTGTGCTTTTTTCTATCTCTTTTCATTTGTAGTTGAAATGGTAGTTCAGGGCATCTGGGCATATACAAACATCAACAGTAATAGTGGAAAAGGAAAAAATATATAAAAGGACATAATTTTAAATTGCCTTAGATATATGAGAGAGTAAATATTTGCTATAGCTTTCTTTTCTGACCTTTAGAAAGAAAATTGGTTTTGTCCTAAAAAAAATGCAGAAGTTGAGTATATTGGACATTAAGTTTGCTTGATTGTAATGTCCTGAAGTTTCTTTTATTGACTTCCTTCTTCAAAATAGTTGGCTTCAAACATGAAATGATGGGCATTACATGGACTTAGGTTTTTTAATTTGTGCTTTGAGGAATTGCACATTCCAATACTCATTGTTTTGTTAATATTTTTCCCCTGTAGATCTGAAATCTCATATTCTACAAATACAAGGAAAAAAAAGACTCTCTGAATCATGGGGTTCCATTCCTCTAATTTGTTAGTGTTTTTACTAACAAATACAGACAGTTGGGCTTTGCTCTTATCATGATGTGGTCATTTTACCACTTACCAATCTGATATTATGGCAGCAATGTCTTTTTTATAAATACTTACTGTATCTGAAGTATGCCAAGCTGCTTGCCCTGCCATAAACTAATTCAAACAGTTGTCTTGTCTTTGAAGTCATCTAGTGTTGAATAAAAATAGATATGTGTGTGAAAGTGTGTCACGTGTTCTTGAGGGATTAGTGTCATTGTGTATTCCTAACTTTCTTCTATCCTAAATCAGACATTTGGTTCCAGGATTAGAAGCTTGCTCTGGCAAGCACATGCACACTTGCACATTTGTGGGTACATATGTGGTACTGTCTCTTTGTGCTGCTTTGTGATTCAGCCTCCTGCTGCTGCCTCCTTTTTGTGCACTTAATGTTTTTTTTCCTTCAGGAAGAGTTCTTTTGCTTCATTATGCGTTTGAAAACATCTTTATCCATTCAAAATGGCTATGTGTCTGTAGAAGGTGGTTTGCTTGCAACAAGTAATTTAAGTTCCTTTTTGTCTTTAGAGAGAAAAAAGGCAGTAAAAATATATTAGATCTTCATTTGTGCAGTAGATAGAGAATAGAGAGATTGGTGCTGCTCTGAGAGGAGTGACAGCCCTTCCCACCACAATTGTTTTAGGCTGGTCTGTAGAGTTAGTATCCATTTCTTCCATCTGTTCTTTCGGGGTTTGTTCTGTGGTGGTTTCAACAGGGGTGTTTTTAGAGAGAGAATTAACACCTCTATACAGAAATGTTATGTGTTTACATCTGTTGTAATTGGGACAGAAATTTTATTTAATGCGGGGAGAAGTGAGTGAAGTTGAGTCTCCTCACAGTCAGAGGTGAGTTCTCTTGGTTGGTCAGACCTTTGCTTCAAAATGCTAGGATTTAAGGAAAGCTTTGAAATCTTCATGGCTTGCAGCTTTGCTGTTGGTGGTTTCCAGAGAGCAGCTGTATCTGGTGAGGGAACTAGGCAGAGCATGGAAAGCAGGGACAGTAGCTGAACTTAAGTACAGAGACAACTGGGATGGTGCTGCTGTTATGGAAAACTGTTGTTTGTGCTTTGGATTCTGTCCTTGGCAAGATTTGCCTTTTCCTAGTCTGAGAAGTAAAAATGTGACTCAAAAACTGTGATTTGAAAAGTATGGGAGTCAGAGTTGATGAAAGCCATTTACAAAGCTTTTAAGATAGTGTTTACAGCTTACATATCAGAACTGATTTGTGACACATTAAGAGAAGCTTGTCATTTGTAGGAGATGGCATTGGTCTCATTGTCAAGTTTGAAAAGTTCATTGTAGCCATGTGTTTAGCTGCAGAATTATAAAATACTAGCCAAGTGTGCTTCACAAGAGAAGGCTGCCAAGTATGTATGTTTTGACCATGAAACATAGAATGGTACATAAAAAACTTAGGTGGTGGGAAATTTTTCACTCCTACAACACAGTTGTATGGTCCTATTTTTTTTACAGACCTCCTAGAACAGCTTTCCTGATTGGAGTATGCATCTTGTAAATTCAGCAGGTAGAGAGAGGTTGCTTCATACAAACTAAATTACTATGCTGTATTTAAAATAATTTGATAATGCTTGCCTTTAAAAACAGGAAAAAAAACATATTGGAAGGGTTTTTTATAGGAAATGGGGCATGCACTCCCTTATGCTTTAAGTGCAAATGTGCTCACAAGCAGCTGCAAAAATCCTAGCACGAGAGCATGACAGAACAGCTCAGTAGGTGCTACAAGGTGCCACAAAAATGGTGGGTTTGGAATTTAAATTCTAAAGTAAACATTCTTAACTGTGGTGGTTTAAGTAAATCTGACTTCAATAGCAAAATGCAGAATATTTTCAAACATAAATATCTAGCAAGGTAGGTTTTCTTAGCATTGGGGTTTTGGGTTCAGTCCATACCCTTCAGCCCTGTAATGCCAGTCCCTTGGTTTTCATCTACTGGATTCAGTAGGCCTTCTTATTAAATGCCTTTTGTCTAGCATGGAAGAATAATGAAATACTGGCATGCTAAGGGCCACCAAATCTGTGAAACAAGAGGCTACTGTGCAAGGACACTGGAAAGAAGTAGAAGAGTGTGGAAAGAACAGCATTTCACTTCAGGTGTCTGATTTGTATTCTCAAATAAGATTAATGTGGTTCTTTAAAAAAAAAAAAAATCAAAATCAGAGCATTGTGGATTTTTAGATGAACTGGCTCCCAGGACAGTAGATTGGCAAAATGTCTAGGTAGAAAGCACACCTTTGAAGTAGAAGAGTATTGGGTGGGTTTTTTCACCCTTTTATTTGATATCACTGTATCTACCTTCTTGTGTAGCTACTCCAGAGCTAATCAGCATCAGTTTCGGAGTTTGCATCCTAAACTATGTGATTTTCTAGAAAAGGTGCTTTTTTTTCAGATGAATAAAAGTTGGGAGGAAACAATCTCTGAAAGCTTGCAGGTCAATATTTCAGTCAGAAGAATGAACTGCAGACTCACTGTCTTAACTTAAATGATCAGTTTATGATGGGTAGGTTTGGAATGGAAATGTGGCTGATGACCTGGAATGGCTGCAAGATGGGGGAAGTTCCTTGGCCTGACTGGACAAGTAGTTGCAGCAGAGAGAGGCAGGGTGGCTGGCAGGAGCAGGAGGCTGTTGCCACAATAGTCTGGTCAATGTGAATCAGAATCCACTAACTCAGTGGAAGTAGTAACTCAGCATTAGCAAGAATATTACTATATGTACGTTCTTCCATGTGGGGAAATGTATGTTGTCCATCTCCTGCAGACCTACTCAGCCAAGCTCCTTGAAAATTATCTCTTTGAAGTTGTTTCTTGGGTCTTAAATAAATCTTTCAAACATAAAATAATAAATACTAAAACAACTTCAGTAGTAAGTATAAAATGTAAACAAAATACAGATAAATTACAGTTACCAGTATCAGATGCTGTGATTGTGAATGAAGTTTGGCTCTTCTCTTCAGGTTCAGTAATTAATAGGTATGTTTTGTAGTTTTTCCTCTCATTGAGGCTGGAGTGGGCTGTGAGGAACTTCACAAGAAATTTAAGCAAGCTAAATGTTGGTTATGCATAAGGGAGATATTCATTAACAAAAGAAAGTAATAAACATCAGAAGCAGTGGAACAGCTGTTTGGTACTGATACTTTTCTGGAGCTGTGGCCCACTGGAGGAGGTGTCCTGAGCAAGGACTGGACTAAAGTGGAAGGACATAAAAGAAATTAGGTGCATGATGTAACAAAGACTGTACAAATTGTTCTTGTGTGTACCAGTTCCATTGTACTGAGTTGTAAGGGTCCACAGGAATCAAGGAAGGGACTAGAACTGAAAAAATGTGTCATGAGAAGAGAGCTTGAAGAGATCAGTGAGGTTTAGATTGAGGAATTAATCAGTATGAGGAAGTGTGGAAAAGGACCATGAATTGTACAAAGATAAAATAAGGGACCCTTAGTTAGCATTACAGACGCAAGAGGAATATTCAGTAGAAGACAGGCATTTAATTAAAATGGAATCTTAAATGCGTCAGTAGTTTTAAAAGCTGAAAGCTTATTCAATAACTAAGATATTCACTTGTGAGGATGTCAAAACCACCCTCTCTGCAAAAAAATCGGTATTCCAAGTCTGCTGCTGGTTAGGTATGGATGTTTTTGGAAGGAAGGGTTGGACCACACAGATGGTGCCCTTTTCATGCTTAAAGCAATGCCATAGAGCTGAAGGACTTCATGAGCCAGGCACTGTTTCCATGTGTTTGTGTTTAATAACTCTGTTTGGATTTTTCTCTTACCTGTATATTTTTGTCATCCCACTTACGCTTTTGGCTTCTGTGTTGTGGCAGTGAGTCTCACAGTTGTAATTATGGTTTATGTGATGTAGTCTGGCTTTTCCATCTATTATAGACCTGCTGCCCAATTTCTTAATTTCATTTCTGAACAAGAATACCCAGTAACATTGAGAAAAATTTTCTAAAGAGAGGGCCAGTCATCACACAAGGCTGCCCCTCTAACACTTTCTCTAATTATTCATGGGTGGGTGTCTTGCTTGGCCTGTAGGAGATACAATATTTACTGCTTGACTGTCTCCTGCTATAACAACCTCTGTGGACAGCTAGTGAGCTCCATCCTGGCCATGACTGCTGTGTCCTTATGGTGAATAAAGTTGATTCCTGGGTGTTTCAAATAAGGTGCCAATACTCAGAATGAAACACTTTGCCCCCTGAATGCACAACATTGCACACACTTCCCTGGATGTGCTAGTGTGTGGATTTCAAGGTGCATATCCTGGGCCCTGTCTAGAGCTCAGTGGGAGAGTGGGGGTTTTTTGGTTTGCTTTTTTGTAAAGTCAGCCTTCCATCCCCCATCTCACACATATGTCATGACCGGTCAAATGCGGTGTTACCCTGCTTTGTAGGTGAAAGTTTGGTGCGTGCTTGCTGGCCCCCACTCTTAGCTCTTTACATGCTATAATGACTGCAGAACAACTTGGCTTCTGGGGCCCCGAATATTAACAGATCTCTCACTAACTCTTAGGTGTAGCAGGAGCAAAATCAGAGACTTTCTGTCAAAATCACAGGAAGTTCTTTTTAATTAAAAATAGGAAATGATTCCTGCTTGCTGGAATTTGTGTTCCAAATGTGATCATGTGAAGTGAGGTTCTGGAGTAAGTATTGAATATTCTAATTTTTACTCCTTTTTTTGTCTTTTTCTAGGAGAAGCTCTGCCTACCACATCACATCCTAGAAGAAAAGGGCTTGGTAAAAGTGAGCATAACAGTTCAAGCATTGCTAGATGTAACCACAGTGAAACAAGCTTTATTCACATGAAACTACCCTCTCTCTGCTGTTACCAGCTACACTGTGCCATGAACGAATCAAAAACTGCCCATTTTTTCAAACTGCATTGAAGACAACTCCAGTACTCCAAGAGTATTCTTAGCATTTTAAACCTATGTTTCAGACTGTACATATGTGTCGAACTACAAAGCAGAAACTGAACAGAAACATTTTCTAGAGGAAGTTGGCACTTCACTGCTTTTATAGCTCACTTTGTACAGTACTTACTAAAACAACACCTCTCTGCCACTTAAAATCGTGTGGAGTACACAGCTGTCTTGCAGCAAGATACTTTGTATTACTAAACTAAGAGTCACTGTAATCACCTGGGGGGAGGGAGAAGGGAGAGTAAATCAGACTGCTACCACCTTAGGTTTTTCTGCAGTTGCTTCAGGCTATTGCCTTTTAAAAATATCCAGACATTAAATATTTATATAAATATTATTTATTAGTGAGTTGTTATTCATCCTTTGGATGCAAAATGTAAATTAGGAAACTGTATTTTATTACTGCTTTTTTTGTGGTTAAACACTTTATTTTAATATAAATACTTTGTTATTTTTTATTCTACTTGGTGTGCAGTAGCTCTAGATCTCCGTAAATGGTATTTTCTAATATGTAAGATAAAAAGCAAACAAAATAGGTGCTTCTATTAAAAGAACAGCTAGCTGGAATGGCATTCTTTATTTCTTGAATCTGTGGAACATTGGTAAAAAATTGTCTGCATTCCATTGAGTTTCCTACATTCCAGTAACACCTCTCCCCTCACTAGATAGACTAAATTGGCTGAAAGTGAGAGCACACCCATTTTATTTGTATATAGATGTTTAAAGACAAAAGGAAATATGTAAACTTGAAAAACAAATGTGAAAAAATATTTTTGATTGCTTATTTTACTATGCACAAGACATTTAACTTTTGCCACAACAAAATTATTTATGTGCATTAGGATCATGTGTCTTGAAATGTAATTTTGCACTGTAACTTGATTTATTTTAAAGATTACAGCACTACAGAACAAATAGTAAAAAATAGCACAAGAATGTTAACAAGATTAACAGGTAGCCTAAAAATTAACTTGTTTTCTTCAGTGATTCCTTCAAGAGGAGACAAAATTACTGAAGTTGCCAAAGGCAGTCTCAAAGACCCAGTCTTCCAGATCCAACTTGCCTGGGTGCAATGCTTCTCTTTAAAAATATCCACAGAATTAAGCACAATGTTCTGTAGTGCACATTTGCAGCATCAGACCTCTACTTCCACGTCAGCAATAGGAAATAAAAGTTCTTCTCCTTCTTACCACTTTACATTTGCAAAGAGGTTTTTAAAAGTATACTTTATTATTAAGACATCACGCATTTTAGATCAGAAAGTTCCAGCACAGTGATTCTTCTTCTCTCTGGAACATCCTATTTTCATTCACACAAGAAGCCAGTGATGGGACTTGGGCAAGCAGGACGGGGCAGCTGCATGTGGTGAAAAGGGAAGCAGGGAGTTTGAAATGTAGAGTGGCAAAAAAAAAGAGGTAAGGGGGTGTGAGGACTAAATATTTAAGCAAGAGGATGTGGAGAGAGTTACTGTATGAAGGCTTTTGGGCAGAGTGATGCATACCTGTCACTGCCCCCTCTCGAGGCACTGCCTTTAGAGCCGCCCATGCTCAGCAGCTGCTGAAGGCAGAGCACTCACTGCAGCACCATGCCCATGCTCAGCAGCAGATGTGCTGAGCTCCAGCCGCTGCTGAAGGCAGAGCACTCACTGCAGCACCACCGCTGGCTGTGGGGCTGGGGGCAGTGACAGCAGCGTGTGGGGAGGAGGAGGAGGAAAGTGGACTCGCAGACAATGAGGCAGGCAGTATGCATGGAATATCCAGTTACTTCAACCAAAGCAAAAACATTTATTTTATAGAGGGAACATAGACTTAAATTGTAATTTGATTGGCAGCTAGCATATTGTTTCCTATAAAATGTACTGTGCACTTTAACACTAAATGAAAATGTATTTTACTATTTTACAGAGCTGCACAAATATCTGTTTTGTCAAAAAGCACGAGCAATGTAAAGAAAATAAGTTTTCAAGTCAGAGTTTATCAAATTTTAGAAGCATTCAAGGATCAAGTATAAAAATAGGAATATTGATTTCTGCATCTTGAGGGTAAAAATGCAGGTTTCCTGAGTATTTTTTTACAATGTATATATGGCAACATGAAGCTTTGTAATTATTATTATTTTGACAAATCTTGTTTTTTCATAATTAAAATTTTGTTTTTCTCCTGATAGTGTCTTTCACTATTTGCTTGAAGTTGGCTGTAAATAAATAGCTCTAAGTATTTTGTAATACAGCTTTTTTTTATGCAGTCTTAACCTGTATGGCTAAAAAGAGACTCTTCATGATCCTTTGTACAATATTTATATGTGCAATAAAACATGCATGGCAAATCTGTAATACTCTCTGCAGTGAACATAATGTATATAGAAAATCTTTACTGTAGTTACAATTAAACTATATTATTTGCAGAAACCCTTTAATGCCTATCTCTGTGACTGATCATTTCTTGTAAAAGACATGGCAGTTGGAGAGTGGAGCACTGGAAATGATGGGTTTGGGGATGGGGATGATGATGACGTGATGCAAATAAATGAATTTTGCAGCTAAGGAGGCATAAGATCCAGCTGGTAGCTGTTGGGTACCTGGAATGTTCTCCCTGCAGCTTTGCTGCTGCTGTTGTGAAGGCCTCCTGCCAGTCTGGTAGTGGCAGTGAATTACCTGCTTCTGCTGCCAGGGCTGGGCTGGGCTCAGGGAGAGTGGAGACTGCCCTCCTTCACTTTGCTCCTGCTCACATTGGTGTATGAGAGTTGTTCATTTTATTGCTAACACTTCTCTCTACAGGGCAGCCTTTTCTTTTGAAATGCAGAGATTGTTCTTCAGCCTTCTGCTTCAGCAAACAAAACGTGAAGATTGCTGGAGAGTACTGAATCCGAGCAGCAAACACAGTAATGCCTTTGGCCCTGGGCATAACCCAGTGGGTGAGGGCTGTGCTCAGCTGCTTTGCTCTGCCCCTGGCTGCAGAAACAAGGAGCAGGTCACAGCATCCAGCCTTCTCTTGCCCATGCAGGTTTCTAGTTCATTTTACTGCTAACACCTCTCTCTACAGGGCAGCCTTTTCTTCTGAAATGCAGAGATTGTTCTGCAGCAAACAAAACGTGAAGATTGCTGGAGAGTACTGAATCCGAGCAGCAAACACAGTAATGCCTTTGGCCCTGGGGATAACCCAGTGGGCCAGGGCTGTGCTCAGCTGCTTTGCTCTGCCCCTGGCTGCAGAAACAAGGAGCAGGTCACAGCATCCAGCCTTCTCTTGCCCATGCAGGTTTCTGAAGTCATCCACGTACAGATTCTCCCAGATTTCAATTTCTCTAATGGAGTGTCTCTACCTTAGTGAACAGGTGACTTTATGGGCTGTACTTTTTCACATTTGATAGGGGATTTTGGAAGCAGAAGATCTCCCTGCAATAATTTCCTTCTGGAGAGCTCTTGCAATGCACACAGTTGTATCTTCCCAGCCTTCAGAGCTTAATCATAAACTATTAGATGCAAGACTGATAAGACTGATACAAGCTGATGCATAATTTAAGACTAGCACCAGCCTCTCTGTAACCTAGAATCTAGCAGGAGCCAGAGACACAGGAGAGCATTCAGCATTGCCTAAAAAAGGAAACCCATCCTACATCTATGGTGGCATTTCCTCTGGCAAGAGTGAGTCAAGGTTTGAGCAGTGATTCAGGTCCAGCTGAGCCATGAGAAAAGCTGATTTTACAGGTGATTACTGCAGCTTACTGGAACAATCTGTGTTCTTGTCCAAGGTAGCTGGCAGAATTACACCACCAAGAGCTATTTTAGATCTATAACTGTCAGGACTAAATTTTGCCCCCTTTTGTAAAATAAGCATACTTTATTTCAGCAATGAGATATTAGATCATCTAGATCGCAATTGCTTTTTTCAGATCTATTTAGCAGTTTCTTCTCAGTCCTGTCAAATCTAAGATACACACTACAAGTCTTTCACACTCCTAAGAATCAAAGGCAAGTGGGAAAAAAATCCATTTTAGTACAGACTGCTTCCTTCACCTGTTTTTTAAGGTCTTTTCTGTAAGTATCATCCATGGAATACTCCAGGTCATTTGCCTGATAACACACAGGACAGTAAACCACTGTGCACAGCAGGCTTTTGTCTGGATTCTCCACCAAACTGGAAGGTATTTACACAGGCCAAGGAAAAACACACCTACCACTTCAGATTAATTAAGGAGCTTGATTAGCTGTGCCAGTAACAACATCCTTCTCCATTACAGGTTGAAGTAAGCCCCAGTAATTAATTGGCTGAATGGGCACACTGTTGTTAATCACAGTCTTTGCACAGTTGCACTAGAAGCTGTCTGTGGGTGCCACGTCCACACCCACGGCCTGAAAGTCACTCATCTGCTGGCTTGCATTTTGACCCAAATGCAGCAGATGTAACTTCATGGCATCAAGAGTTTTCCAAGCATGCAAGAACATTTCCAGTACTTACTCTAAACCACGCATATCAAATTAAGTGGGACTTTTATTTTTCTTAGAAGTACAATCAATTAGAAGAGCTCCATTTTACAAACATCACTTCAGCAAATGATTCTTGTTTAGTTCACCACTATCCCTTGATTCATCTTGTCCAGGCAGCACTCACATCCAAATGGTTCAAGCATTGAGGTATTTTGCATGGTGTTTGATGTGGTCATTAATAAATGAAGCAATGAAATAATAGCTGTGATCATAACCCTAGAAAAGAATAACAATAAAGAAATCAGCAGAGAACATACAGCTCATGATAAAGCAATCATGCTAAGCTCTCTTAAAGGAAATGTAATGACCCTCCTGGTTTTTTCCATTTTGAGAAATACCTGGAATATATATAAACATGGCAAGGGATACGTAACAGGCTAAGTACAGATGAGCACTAGGAAGCTGAACAAACAGGAAGTCCCTTAACCTGCCCAGATCTGGGCCTGTAAGCTGGAGATGGGTAACAGCAAGGCTCAGCTGCAGAGTGAGATGCAATCTGAGAGAACAGTTGCCCTCACAGCATTTTTCTTCCGGTAAAACACAGGGGGGATAAGGAGAACACAGCCCAGGCCTGAGTTATTGCTCCATCACTGTGCTGAAATGTCACCCACAGCCCTTCATCAGCACTAGCTCTATCTTCAGGTGCAAGGTTTAGGATAAACCAGAGAGGACAATCCTTCACTCTCCACAACTGAGCTCCTCACTGGGTCTGGGTGGAAGTTGCCAGTGGCTTACAAAGACTCCAGTGCTCTCAGGACAGTCTTGTTCTGGATCACTGCACTACAGGTAAGAGTCATCCTTCCACTTGGGTCTTAACATCAATCTAGGATGTCAAGCAGTTCCACCCCTTCCCTAATTTACACAAACACATGCAAAGTAAATCACGCAGTTTTACGGTAAACACGAAACCCACAGCACAGATAAGGGATGCAGCAGAAGGCCATGTGTCACTTTGGCTGTACAGTGACTGCGATACTCATTAAAAATGATTACTGCTGTCTTCAGCCAAGCGCAGGCAGCCCGAGTCCCCATGCCGGGATCAGCCTGTCCAGGCTGGAAGCACGACGGCACCTAGTGGCGAAGCGCGGCTGAATCGGGTGGGGGATGCACACCTTGCGACTGCAAAGTGTCACTTCTCACCCTCCTCCTCAAGTGGCCAGGGACAGGCCCACAGTGAGAGCATGCCTGCCCCCCTACAGACACTCTTCACTGCCTGCTGTATAGACCCAAAAATCACAAACAAGAGTCCGACAACCAAGGACTGCAGAAGCCACTTGCCTGCTGCAGCCTGAAGACCACCGGGATTTTCCGCTCGGTGCAGGCAGCGATGAAGTTATCAGGCAGCAGCTGGCCTGCAGACAGGAACTGGTCATCTTTGCCTTGGTCAATCAAGATGTCGAGGCGAGCACCCGAGTAGGACTTGACAAGCTGTGTAGCATCATAGGCCTGCAGAAATAAGAGAACTGGCATTCAGTTACATGTGTTCAACTGTTTCAGTTTGTTGACCACAGGAAAAGAATGGCACAGACAGAGTCCTGGGCAGTGTTGCTCAGGAAACCAAGCTGCATTGTGGAAGAATGAAAAACAGGAAAAATTCAGAAAAAGTAATACCCATTGCTTTAAAAAGGGCAAATGTGTGAGCTAGAGAATTACCAACTTGGCAGTTTAACCAAACAGCACATCCAGCCCAGGGCTGACTTCCTACAGAATGGAAGAACAGCAATACAGTCAGTACTAATTCACACCCTTGTGCTGAAACTAGATCCTGCTGAAGAAACTTGGTATCTTGGTGTATTTATTCTGGCAGCTAAAACTCAAAACACCAGTGTGGCACCACTAAGCTCATGGGCAGGCATTTAACCTGAAGGTTACCATGATCATTTGACCACAAAAATTTGGTTTGACTGAGAAACAAAAACTCTAAATATACATGTATCAAAATGTAATTATGATGGGGAACACGTTACTGTGCTTATTATATGCTCAGAATAAATAACTCCTTTAAAAAGACAGCAAAGTGTTTAAATACTGTGGAGAAGACCAATCACCAATGTACAGCAAAATCCAAAGTCCTACACCAAGGCATGAGAGCCATTTCTTCTAGGATGCCACCAGATCCAGAAATGACACTATGATGGAAATGGGAGGTTGGGCTCAGCCCAGCACTGTGGCCATGGTATCAAGTTATCCAGAACATATTTACATGGCAATTTTAAGCCAAAATAGAGAGATCAGAGGTTGTATATCTGTTTCAAAAGCAGACCTAAGTTTGTTCCTGATGATTGCTGTTGATCTATTGGACTAGGTTTGCAGAAGTGCTCCAAAACAAACTAAGGGGACAGAAAGCAGGAGAGGTTTTTGGGCAGTTGTTTTGTTTCACAACAAATCCATTACACTAACTCTAAGCAAGTTTAACTGGTGGTTTCTAAGTACACAAACTACCCTGTTAACAATGAGAAAAGCAGAGAACACTCTCCAATCCTGTAAAGTTTTAATCAGACCTGGAAGTCTTCCTAAGATATAATTTAATCCAATTTACAGGGGACTGAACTGCAGCTTGTGCTTATTACAAGGAAATCTGAGTACATGGTCACGACAATCCCTTCTAACTTAATTATAAAAATACAGCACAATGTTTAAGTTGAGATTAAAAATACTGAAGGGCTGCCCAAATAATGCAGCAACCATGCAGACAAACATTTCTGCATTTTAGCTATTCATATACAACTACTGATAGCTCAAAATTAAGGTCCTGGAGCTAAAAGCAAACTTTGTCTACTTTAATGCTGTTCTGCAGGATACCAATTTCCAAGTATCTGACAGGCCTCTCTTGGAGGCCTCCCACAGGCTGCCCCTGCAAGATGTCATAAGGCTCATCAGTCTGAACAGTTTGCAGCAGTCCCTCTCTTCAGGCCACTACAAAAATACCCTGCTCATAATTGTTCTCAGCCCAGACTTTTAAACCTTCATAAAACTGAGAGGAATGTAGTTGATTTGATGAGAGGCCTGTATCTCATTACATTTCCATAGGCACCACAAGGCAACAGCAAGTGTCTCCTGCCAGAAACAAACAATGCTTTTCTGTGCTTAGGGGTGTAGCAAAACAACAGGACCAGCTCATGGGCAATCCAGAGTTGTTTTCCAGGCTCCTGCTGTGATGTATTTACAGATCACCATTCATCTGACATTAAAGAACTGCAGCTGCAACACATACCTCCCATTTGCTTGCATCTGGTCCCAGATATCCACCGAGGGCTTTCTTCCCCCACTGGCACTGAATTGGGTTGCAGATAGGAGCAAATGCTGACACAGACTGTTCAGAAAGACAGCAGCAAAAAACCCAAATTATGTAACAATGAACTGCAGCAAATGAAACTATTTATACATTTAATGCCCCCAAAGAACTCAGTATTATGTTTTCTTTCATTACATTTACAGAAATCTATAAAGGCATTAATATACCTCATATAAACTATACTTCATCTTACTTTGTACTTTCCAGGATTCTTCAGAGCAAGAATAAGAGCTCCATGACCTCCCATGGAATGCCCAAAAATAGACATCCGTTCAGGGTCAGTTGGAAAATTGGCATTTATTAGTTTAGGCAGCTGTACAGGAAACAAAAGCATAATAAAAATGTTAAAGCAACTTGAGTGTGTTTAAGAAAAAAGCACAGAACTAACCAACTTTTAATGCCACTGAAACCACAGGCACATCTCTGGTTCTATCATGACATTTGTGATCATGGCCTGAAAGCAACTTGAACGGGAATGTGAAATCAAAAGGAAACAGTTCAGCAGATATTAAGTAACTCAAAGTATCTCTGTAGAAATCTCCCGTAACTTTGTCACACAAGATGTGGGAATTTCCTATCACTGACCCACACCCCTTTATCCTACCCAGCAACACCAGGAGAACCCAACAGCCAAGTTACCTCATCCTTTATGTAGGAATACATCCTGTAGTTTGTTTTCCAAGGATCTTCAGTGGCATCCACATAAAAACCAGCACCGGTGCCAAAATCCCAGCTTTCATCTTCTCCTTCAATATTGCAGCCACCTAGCATGACAAATCTTTCCTTTAGTACATGTTCAGAATTGAAGAACCTCCCATACAAATCAGACTCGAGACACAAGTTTCTCAATCACATCTCTACCCCTTCAACACTAAAACAATTCCGATTTTAATTCATTAGTACAATGTTTTCAAGTGCTATTTCAACACTTTCAAAATTACATAATACCTGCAGATATATCCAATTTTTGAACAGTGTAAATATCTCCATAAATAAATATAGCATATACCTGTCTTCTAAATTATTTCTGCTTTGTCCCATTTACTCAGAAACTTAATCAAAAGTTGGCATGTATTAATTGATGCTACCAGCTTATTTCAGCCATTAGACCTGTGTGACAGAAGAAAATTTCTTTTTCCCCAGAATGACAGAACCACATATCACCAAATGGTGTGACCAAGCCAATTTATGTGCTTTAAATAGTGCCTTTTTAAGATTCTCCAGAAGAATAATTCACTATTCCTATAATTTCACAAGTCTACTTCTTCTGCCATTCATCTCATTGCTCCCACCTATGATTTCCATGAAACTTAAATAATTTCTTCTTTGAATAACTGCAGGATTGTATCCTCTTTTCCAAGGCCACACTTTCAAATTAAATTTGCAGATGTATTCTTGAAAGACTCAGTGCATCCCACCCAGTCCTCCCCTTTGATTAGTCTGTGATTTACCAGCCTGGTCTGCAGAACCTAATGGAATATTTCAAGGTATATGTGATAGGAATGTTTTGAAGAAAGAGAGGCCATTATTTCCTGCCTATTATTTTACCACAGTCAGATTACGCTGCAAACCCATGTGTAACTCAACAGTCCCTCACAATTTGTGCAGAGATGGCTGCATGCACAGTGTGAAATCAGGTTTGTACACGGATCAAAGCTGACTTTGCTCCAGTGACATGGCCTTGAACACCGAGTGATTCTGTAACTTAGCAGTCCAGCAATCACAGGGACTGGGCTGCTCAGACATGTTGGATGTAAAAAGTCTGTCTTCAGTACCTCAGAGATGAACAGAAACTCAGAAATTCCTGTCAGGCAATGCTCATTATGCTAAAAAAACTTTCAGGAAGCCTTGAAAAAAAGAAATTTGAAAAGGAATCTGCACAATATTGCTCAGTATACCTGTCTGGAAAAACAAACCCCTCCAAAGCAGGAAAAGTGAAGTCTATCAAGGCCTGACAGAGGGTCTGCAATGACAAGTATTTAATGATTTCATGCAGTCTTTTTCCCCATCCAGACACATCTCCTGGAACATATAATAATGCAAGATAATTCTCATACACTACATAATTAAAATGCATATGTAAGCATTTTCAATACCTCTCAGCTCATGATTATATTTTAATTGCTTTTCACTTTTTTTTCCAGACAGCTCAAACAGACTTAAGAACACCTGGGGTCTCTGAGCTAAATTTTAAGAGTATAATATGAAGCTCATTCCAAAACTCATTTAAATAGCAGAGCAACCCTTATCAGTAATTAGGCTAAAAGGCAAGAGAGAAGCTGCCACGAGGGACTTAAAAGAAATTGGACAAAGCAATGACCTATGCAAAGGCAGTTACACATTGATAGAGACAATTTTCACAGATACTACCAAAACCAAGTTCCAGTCCAACTACCCAATATGAATAAAGCAAAGGTTCGTTGCCCATCTCTAGCCTGCAGCAAATAGCAACAACAAAGTGTGAAGTTCATTCATTCACAAGTTTTGCTCTTCTGTCCCTCTTCTTCGTTAGAAACATGTATTTACATTCTTTGACCTGACACAACTTCAAAACCTAGATGTAAAAAATACTTCATGGAAAGAACATTGCTTCTTTTCCATACTGCCTGTAGTCAGATGTAACCCACTAAAGTTTGGGAAATATCATAAGACTGACACCTTTGTTTACAGCACTCATGAGACTGCAGCAGAATCCAACAAATACAAAACATAAAACAGTGAATCCCTAGTGTTCCCAATAACCGCAGATCCACCATTTTCAGATTTCCCATACTATAAGCTCAGCCTTATACAAATAACAGCACATAATTTAAAAAATCTGTTCATCAGTAGTCTGTTGTAGCTGCAAGGGAAAAGGGTTTCTTGTTTGCTTTTCAAGTATTGTAATCCTCTGAAGGCATATATTTAATTTGTTTTAGAAGACAGAATACAATTAAGAGCAAGCATTGCATCTTTGTGTGGCAACACAGTTCTGCAGGTTTTATAGGGTCTCAGCACACAAAATATCAGCAACAATTCTAGTAAGACATATTTGTTGTTTCAATTTTCTTCTCTCTCCTTGTCTGTGCTGAACTCTAGAGCCCCTTTGTTCTAGTTTTAGTGCCACAACAATAAATTCCAATGCCAAACCCTTACTACCCCATTATTAAGAACATATACAATGTAATCTAGTGAACAACGCAGGTGAGCAGAGGTCAAATTTTTACTCAGATGAGCAACACACATTTCAGCACACAGCAGGACCCCATTCTCTGAGGACAGAGAGTGCACTTGAGTGCACTGACTGTCACCATGTCTCTTGTGGAACTCACGTGGGCTCGTGTCTGGTGCCACCACAATCAGGCCGTGCTCGGCTGCCGCTTGTTGAAACGCGGCTTTTGTTATAAAATTCTGTTCTGTGCAGGTCAGCCCTAGGGAAATAAAAATATCATTGATTACCCATTGCTCGTGGCATACTGGTTTCAAAACTCTTTTTGATAGAAAAGGTTTTGAAAAACAAGGATTCCTATCTCCATAAACATGGAAAATGTTTTCATGAAGCTCAACAATACTTGACAGCCACAGAAAGAGAGCTGCACTGTCCCACCCAGTCCCACTAGCAGGAGATCAAAAGCAGATCCACGTGCACCCTGCATCCCCTCCAGCACCCACTCATGCAGTCCTTGGTGCCTTCAGGTACTGGGCATTTAAACCCACTGACCACAGGCCTTGGCTAAGGCTGGCACTGCTACTTTCTGACCCCTCATCCTGCAGCTACATTTTGCTTTGTACTGTAACCTCAGCTGTGTCCATTACAGAATCACACATGTGGTCTGACAAATTCTACATGCTTTAGACAGGATAAAGGGCCTGTAAGCACCCTGGCTCCAAAACCCACAGCAATACATGCCTTTTCTACAGAGCAGGTCCAAATAAAGTCCAGTTACAAATAAACTACATTTCACACCAATATTTCAATTTTGCTTCACTATGCAAATTGAGAGGAGTTAATGATTCTAGTTTTCTCTGAGGACAAGTTGCCAGTAACCTAATTTGACTGATATATTGCCCAAGACAATACAGTTTACATTCAATAAAATAAATGTGCTGCATGGCTTAGAGCTCTTCAGACAATTTTGATGTTCCTAACTTCAAGTATAAATATTTTTACCCAGTCCACTGTCATGACACAAATCAGACCCACCAGCTATTTTGTGACAAGGAACACAAGTCTCCACACTAACAGTCCTGGTCTCCAACTTTCTAAACACAAGTCTCAATAAAGCAACTCCTCAAATTACAGAACAGAGCTTCTGCTTTTTATTTTGAATAAAAGAAAAAAGGATTTAATTAACTAATTTTTGATGAGACAACTTCACTCCTGCTGCCTCTTCAGGCCCTGGCACTTTCTGATCCCACAGGTTTACTTCACACCAGACATGCCTGGCTAAGGCAGCTGACAGCACCTTTCTTTTCAAGTTCACCAGTTGCTTCCTACAAAGTTGTACTTGGAACAAGGTAGAGTCCACAGGACAAATGTGCTGGCTTCCATGGGCTCTTTTCACATCCCTGCTCTGTCAGCTGAAGCAGTTTTTAAAAACAAACTAAAGCAGGAGTTGTTCCAACAGGAAGGTCTTACAGGAGAACCTTTATATATACCCTTTGGAACTAAAGGCATGAACATTTTAGAACAAAAGGGTAGAACACTGAGCATTTTAGAACACAATCTGGTAGGCTACCCCCAAGCTGCATTCTGATTTATCACCTTACACTCAAACTAAGTGTGCCTTCCATAAGGTGAGTTTCTGTAGAATCCAAGAGCTGCCACTGCAGTACCTCTACATTAAGTTTCTAGTAACTGTAGTGCAGTAGTTTAAAAATGTTTAAAATTGTATTTTTTAGTTACTAAGAGTCATGTCACTTACCTGACAGCCAGTACAGCACAGGACACTTTCCAGTTTCTGCTTTTGGAGGCAAGTAGATTCCAAACTTCATTTTGCATTTCAGCTCTGCACTGCATTAATAAAATATTCCTTGTTATCACCACTACTTAATTAACAAAGTCACTACCATTAAAAACAGGAATCAGTGGATCAGTGCATTTCATTGAAAGGGAGACCTGGTCAGTGAATTGCAGCAACTAAGTTAAAGGAAGGGAAAATCAATTTTTAAACTCTGCCTTAGACTCTAGATTTGGCAACAGCTAACTTTTCAACATTGTTCTGAATATACTTAAAACAGAGACTTACAAATAAGCCACATTTTCACAGTGTTGCTAACCCAGAACAGGTTGAAGATCGAAGTTTGAATCCCAGCAATATTGAGCTTGAGCTTTAGCTATCAAATTGCAAAGCAATTTTTACTGAAGAACACATCCACATGAGTTGCACAACATAAAATGCACAGCATGTGCCAGCAGGGGAGGTTTTCAATCTACTAAGTCTACCAAGTCTAAGACAAATTAGTTGCTCAATTAATGCTAAAGCCTAAAACTATCAATAAACTCTTATCCAAGCACAACTGATGATTTAATTTTTATTTGGATCAAAATTTTTTTGGAAAGCTTGGGTTTTTTGTACACCTTCATTAAACAACAATCTCTTCACTGAGCCACTGCTCACAGCACTTTTCCAGAGTGCACAGAAGCAAGTGGAGCTTTGCAAACACAGTGGTTCTCTGTGCTGCAAACAAGACAACCCAAAGTAATGAAGCTCCATTTTCAAAGGTAAAAGTACTAGCTTCCCACCTCAGCTCTGCAGCACTAAGTGTACTAGATTGTGTTAAACATTAACACAGAAATTCAAGAGCACAGCCAAAGCAGGAGTAGACACTGTTCCTGAAATATGGATATTAGTGAGAGCATGCTGTTTTCCTGCAGACTCAAAACACTGACAGCAATGGATTCACTGCGCCAAGCTAAACATCTTTGTTGCTTTAGTGGTGTTTACCTGTCATGTTCAAACACCTTCTGGAAACCTTCAAAGCATTTATTGCTGGAAACCTGTTTCAGTGCCATGATTTTAACTGGGGAAAGGAAAAAAAAAGGAGAAAGTTATATTTCATAATAAAACAACCCCAGTCTTAGACTTTTTGGGAACAGAAGAGTTGACTACAACTTGTAGTATCTTTCCTTAATGTTACCATTTATCAGAAGACTTTCCTGCACACACTTTCTGATCTTTGATTAACTTTCTATTTCCCCATAAAAAAGGGACAGGGGAAGCTGCACTCTTGTGAGCAGAATGGGCAAAGCCTACCTGCTTTCCTACAGACCCACACGTCCAATGACCTTTTCCTCAGCACTAACTGTGGCTTGCTCTTTGCCTACCAAACAAGCATTCCCATGTGCTGTGGTTAACCTGGAGCTCCCTGTGCCAGGCTATTACTTCCACAATTACCATACAGGAAAAAAATACCTGTCCCACCTTTCCTTCTCTTGTGTGTGACAGTATCTTGCCACTAGCTACCACAATACTGAGCCTTATTCTCATCTTGGATGGAAGTTAATTACCACATTCTAACAGTCTGTGGGACAGCAGAAACAGAGGAGCAGAAGGCTTATTTCCACGGCAAATGGTATGAAAGCACAAGCAAAGGAGAGCCATGGCAGTTTTAGAACAGCTGGTAGTATAAGTGTGCTAAGGAAACAAGGGAAGGCTGACACAAAAGTGGACACTGTCAGCTTGCACAGGGCAGTAAGGCCAAGCAGGGAGCTGAAGGGTGAACAGATGCGAACGGTATGAAAAACACAAGCAAAGGAGAGCCATGGGAGTTTTAGAACAGCTGTAGTGCAAGTGTGCTAAGGAAACAAGGGAAGGCTGACACTGTCAGCTTGCACAGGGCAGTAAGGCCAAGCAGGGAGCTGAAGGGTGAACAGACGGCAGGGTCACAGAATCACAGAACATTCGAGTCGGGAGGGACGCCCAGGGATCATTGTGTCCAGCTCCTGGCCCTGCACAGGACCATCCCCAAGAGTCACACCCTGGTGCCAGAGAGCATTGTGGAAATGCTCCTCGAGCTCTGTCAGCCTTGGTGCTGTGACCACTGCCCTGGGGAGCTGTTCCAGTGCCCAGCCACCCTCTGGGTGAAGCACCTTTTCGTGATATCCAGCCTAAATCTGCTCTGACACAACTTCAGGCCATTCCCCTGGGTCCTGTCACCGGCACACCAGAAAATCCTGAGGGGAACCCAAGTAACATCAGACCAGGTAACAAACGCCAAAAGGAAAGCATCCCACCCCTCACAGCTGCGCGCTCCTACGGGAGCCCGGGCAGGAAGAACCACGCAGCACGGGGAGCCCTGGGGGGCTCATCGCCGTGCCCCGCGGGGCTGGGGCCGAGGGCAGTGTGCCCAGCAGCGCCTTGCAGCACCGCCATGGCACGGCAGCGCCGCCAAGGCCCGGCCCGGCTCGGGACGCCCCTTTCCCCAGCCCTGCCCGCTGCTCCACAGCGCTCCCCGCGCCTCCATTGCCACCCTCCCGCCTCCGGCCAGGCCCGCACGGCCAGACGCTGCCACCGTCGCCTCCCGGCCCGTTCCCGCTGCTAATCCCGCTGCCGTTCCCGCTGCCTTACCGCGGCGGAGCGGCGGGAAGGGGCGGCCCCAGCGCGGAGGCGGCTCCTCCTCCCGGCCCGGGCCGGCCCGCGCCGCCCCCGCCCGCCATGGCGCTGCCCGCGCAACGCGTGTAAACATGTTCTTAAAAAACGCTGCTCTGTCATGTTCCGTCTTTATATACTTTGAAGTCTAATCAAGAAAGGGGATTTAATCCGTGAAACAGCAGTGAACAAGCTCTAATTGATGCCCAGGTGCTAGAAGGACAAATTGCTTGTAGGTAGAATTGCCTTGGTAAATTTTAGGGCTTGACGTGTTTCAGGGCTCTGAGACCTAGGGAGAGGTTGGCAAAGCTCCGGGACAGGGATGTGCTGCTGACAGTGGGCACAAAGAAGGCAGAATTTACTGGCCACAAGGACTTTTGGCAGAACTCCTAGGATAGGGAAGAAAATAACAAAGAAAACTCATTAACTGTGCTGAAATCAGCTCTAATTGGGTAGAAGATAATTCTGATGGGGAGGTCCTGACCATCGACTCACAACCCACTGACTCAAGAAATGCACCAGGGAATCCATAATAGTGAACTATTCAAAGCAGCCTTTGTGTTTGTGTTATGGTCCCTTGACTATTTTAAGGGAGAAAAAAGTTGCTGAAGTAGTCTGAGCTGGGACCACTACATTGTTCCATTGCAAATGTTTTATTTCCCTTCAGGATTTCAGAGTGCTTCATAGCAGGTGCCATCATACAAGCTGCTGATTTTATAACAAATCCAAATTCTAGTGTAGGTATTTTACACCTCACCTACAAGACCACGAAGTAATGAAGATACTTGGTAGTGCTTCCATCTTATCCATAACCCAAATGATCCCTCTTTGTGCTGGGCTTTTATTATTTATTAATTTACAGCTAAACATGTCTATCAGTTGTCAAAAAATATCCTCAGCAAAGCTCTTTCCTACTTTGTAGTCTTGTGTCATGTACTGCTTTGGCAGTAACTATTTTTGCCTATAATACTTTTCAGTCTTGACTTTTCCAATTCATTTTATATTTTTGAATTCTGCCTCTGTGCTTGGATGTAGTTGGTACAGATAGTCTGTCTCTGAGCTGTTTAAACCTCCTTGTTTTAGCTTTCCTTTTTCAAGCTGTGTTTAAATTGCAATCAATCAAATTAAATTATGTACTTAAGTACTCTTCAGGTTGTTCCTTCCATCTCTGTTTATAGTAAAATACAGGGCAGCCCCAACAAAGGAACAATTGGCATCTAACTCCATTGATTCAGAATGCTGAACAATTGCTTTATTAAAACTATATTATATTACATTAATACTATATTATAACTATAATAAAGAGACACTATACTATATTGCATACTAAAGAAAACTCATGACTGTCTCCCGACAGTCAGGACACAGCTTCAAGTGATTGGCCAAGGAAACAAAACAATCCTCAGCAGAACCCAATTACCAAATCCCTTCAGGTAAACCCTAACACATTCCATATGTGCAAAAACAACAGGACCAGCAAGTAGAGATAAGCATTGTTTTCTCCTCTCTGTGCTTCTCCAGGAAAAAACCTGGGAGAGAGAATTATATCTCTCTCTGTTCAGAGAATGTGAATGCCACATGTGTGCATTTTGTAGCTCCCTAAATGTCTCTCACTAGCAAGATAATGCCCAGTTAGTTATTTGAACTGAACTGTAGCCAGTCTGTTTTCTCTCTTCTATATCTAGACAGCTGTTGTTACACACATCTCATTTTCCCTGATATCGCAATTGTTTTTCTCTCTTTATCTCTTGTCAGTATGAAATCTGCCTAACTCAGGCAGTGATACTGATCAGATTTTGATGTGCTTGTGCTCTTGCTGTCCAAGTCCATTATATAACCTCTGCCCTATTTGCTCCCATTTCAGAGTGAATATTCAGAAGGGTTCACCTGAGAGCCTGCTGATGAGTTTCCCTTGCCTCCCCACATCTCCATGTCAAGATGTCTGCATTATTTTTATGTCTTTTCCGATCAAAAATGGCTGAACAGAAATGCATAGGTGAATTATGTGAGGACTGTGTCTCAGCCCTTCAGAGAGCTGTTTTCATGGCACAGAGCTGACACACCAGGATAGTGTTAAGAACAGTGTAAGGCAGAGGGAGCCAAGCTGGTGCAGTCTCTTCTGTGCTGTAGTGTAGATCTTTCTAGTATCTTTGGTTGTGGACATTTGTTTAACCTTAATTCCATTTCTGTATCCTTTCAGATGTGCCTGCATTTCTCACTTCTCAATTAATTTTGTTTGCATTTCAGATTTTCTAAAAAATACCGGATGTGAAACAGGCTTCCTTTCCTTCATCATTAAAAGGCTTCTGCTATGGTACAGCAGGGCAACCAGTAGAAATAGGGATATTAAAATAAAAGAATGACAGATACTCACTTTGGGAAATCTTTTGGCTTATGTACTCTTGCTTTGTTATACTCCAGTACAGCACATACTGTTCCAACATACTATCTCTCTGTTCTCCGTACACAATCAATGTTTTTTACCATCTGACCACTCAGATCACTGGATGATCTCATCCAGTGGTGAGATATGATTTCACATCATCACCTAGAATTTCTCTTGGTATCAGTAAGAAAGCCTTTGCATTCTGTCAGAAAGTTTTTTGCCTTTTCACCATCTATTCTGTACTTGGGGAAACATTACACTAGCTTCAACACTCAAAACACATTTTTTTGTGAAGCTTCCAGCAAGAAACTTCTACATTGCAGCCAAACAACCTGTATGTCTTTAAGCTTATGGCACCAAATTTTTCCTTTCCCATTTTCTTTGCAGTAAGTACAGTCTTTCCCTCAGCCATGCATCTGACAAAAGATACTCACTTTTCTAATGTTCTAATACTTTTTGTGGTAGTCTGAATTAAGAATGATGGTTACTAACTTCCTCCTTCCTGCTTTTCAGTAATTTTTTCTCAATTTTTTGTATGTGATCACATCATCACTGGTTATTCAGAGCTCTGAATTCACACTGCACTGTTGACTTTGCCAAGAGATTATTTGTTTGCTATTCTTTTCTGTAAAGAACTTATCTGATGTTCTTTATAGCAATTGATTATAATTCTTTTAGAATTCTAATGTGATATTTATCTAAGTTATTTTAAACTGTTTTATGCCATGCTATCAGTCATTTTCAAGAAACATATATGCTGGCAACAGGATCATCCCTCAGTATATTTCATGGTGGCTGTATTGGTGCAAGCTGTTTCAAGTCTTTAGCTTTTCATGGGAGAAGGTTTGCACAAGGAAAGGGAAAGTTTTCTGTACAACTGTATTTTTATTGATATATTTATTGATTAGTTCCCCTTCCTTCTACATCCATCTATCTTTTACCTTTTATTCCTAGATGGAAGTTAGGTCTGAGCTTCTTTTCTTTCTTTCCTACACATCCTCACTTTCTTTATCTGTGTACATTGAGGGCCTTTTTCTGCGTTGTTCTAATTCTTGATTTCATTATTTCCTTTCTGTTCATTAGTGTGTCATTTGAGTCCCTAGGTCTTTTGGGGACACAGCATTGTCCTTTGGTCATGCTTGCTCTCTAATCCCAGTTACATAGCTCCTCTGGCTCCTCTTTCACTTGGCTTTATCTTGGATGGGTGCTCCTGCAGCACTGCACTGGGGGTCAGGAATGGCCTCAATAGCTCTGAGCTGCTGTGAGGCTGAGAACGTTCATAAATCATCTTTGCAGAGAGGCTGTGGAGAGCATAAACACGGAAGATTTGCAGTTGCAGAAACAAGTAATTTGTGATAAGAAAATAGAAAAAATAATGTTTTTTGAAAAATTCTTTGTCCCTGGAGCAGTTAAAGCTCTTACAACTTTTCCAAAGAAAAAACGCCACCCAATCATGCTTCTTTTATTACAGTAATGTAAGAAACATTAATAATATTTTATTATCACTTCAGAAAAATGGAAAATTAAGCACATTACAACTGATATTAAATCCAATGAGGAAAATGCTGCTAGTAATTCCAACAGAAAGTATTTTCCTCTTAATGTGTTACAATTAAAAATGAAGAAGTCTTCTTTTTTCATAGCAAATTAATTGCACATATTTGTATTATGTCTTTTGTTTTCTATTTATTTCTAGTACAGATTAATTTTGAACCTATGAAGAGTATGCCTGTTTGAGAAATTTTTCCACATACAGTTTTAAATATCTCATGTATTTACTGAACCCTTGAGGCTGGTATTTTGAATTCAGATATTCAAGTAAACTTTGCTGTATAGTTGCAGCTAAGGAAAGATATTGGCTGACAGAAATGTAATCATGAAGATCTGATTTATCAAATGCCAAAGGACAAATTTAAATTCAATTTAAGCCAATAAATAATACAGTAGAACATTAGGGCTTGTCTTATTAATGGGAGCTGCAAGGAGAGGTGGAGGCCATTTGTTTAAGCTTGTGGTTGTCATTCCAAGGGAGACAGGTTTTTGTTTAGGTCTTATGGAATAAGTTAAGATGAGCAACACTAGCTGGCGTGCCTTGATCCCTACATGAGCCTTGAAGTAATACATGTACAGTAGACTTTCTTTCTTGGTCCTGATGGACAGTTCAGGCCACAGACATGAAGTCATTTATCAAAACCAGGGTCAAAGTAGCAGATGAAGCTTTTATGTGTATCATAAATTCTTCCTGTGAGGATTATTTAAATCTGTTATCTATAATGAGGTAAGACAGAGAGTCATGCAAAATTACAATAAAAGATTACTTTAAAGAGCATGGCTTTTAGAAAAACTGAGGAAAAGACAGTGATTTATTGCTGTCAAAGATGACTATGGTAACATGCCTACGTGGCTTTTGGAACAACTGGCCTGATCCCCAGCAGAGAGAATATATTTCAATAATATAGATGATTCCTAGAGGGAGTACAGGCAATGAAAAGGTCAGAAGATTCCAAACATCATTTAAGATGAAAAAGTAAAAGTAGATGCTTATATTGCCCAAAGACAATTGGCAAAAAGCTTGATTGA